ATGGGGGACCCCCAATAACCATGCCATTTCGCCCCTAGCCTGCAATTGCCCTAGCCAGAGAGTGCATGGCCAGGCCCATATACAATACCCTCACTCCACGCTGCACATCTCCAAGGGAGGACTATTCATCATTCATTCGCCCAATCACACCCTCTACTGCATCGCGGAGCAGGCGCGTCACACAGGGAAATGACAGCCAAGCATCTTGATCAAAGGCACATTAGCCAGAGCCCACAGCGAACACTTGCATTCTGCTTTGCCTCTAGACTCTAGACAATTACGCTTCGAGCCCTGCATAACCTCGTCTTCGCCAAACTTTCAAAGGCGACCGACTCCCAGGCCATGCGACCGTTCGTGCGGCCACAAGCTTGCAGGTTGACTCACGGCTAGGAACTTAGGCGCCATGGTACGGGGACGCGACGTCGCCCTGGCCTATCACAACCCACATCAGCCGTAAGACCCGATGCGCTTCTGCCGCCATATGCTGGTCCAATATTGAGTGCGCCGGCATTATCCTTTCATCGATGCGCAGGAGTCACCAGCCGACTCTCAACATAACCGTCATGGCCATCGTCGTCGCAGCATCAGCGCGCTGGAGTCGTTGCTCTTGCTGTCACATGTCAGAGCCTGTCGTGTTCCACAGTGGCAAGCGCTGTGCAGGGCGGCCCGTCGCACGTCTGCCGATCTTGCAGCTTCATGCGATGGCATCCATGTCCACAGAGTCACGAGTCGCCATCCTTAGTGTGCGCCTACACGCTAATCATCATCGCCGCTGTGGTGGTGTAGTAATATACTTCGACGCAAGAGGCTCCCCGCAAAGCGCGCCATTGCCGAACGATTCCAAGAGATAAGATTCGCCCTCACAATATCCGGAGAATACGAGCCGACGATCAACCGACCGTTGCGTGCTAATCTCATCCGACCAGCCTCAAGTCGCACATGCAAGGTGGCCAAAAGAGACGTTTTCGTCACTATACGACCTTCTCGAACGGTGTTCAAAATAGTGGTAGTATTTACACATTCTAGCGGCACAAACTGTTGACGTGTGCATAGCCAACGAGTATGCCCCCTTGAGATTAGTCGAATCTCCTATGCTCAAAGGTGGTGTCTTACAAATTCTGCATAATGCTTCCATTCCCTCCTTCGCAAATCGTTCCGGGACACAGGTAAATTCTTCCCAATTTTTCTGGCTGAACAGATTCTATTCTAGCCGTGCCGTCCAGGATGATAGTTGGCCATGTCGCCCTGCGTTCGCTCTGTAGTAGAGATTCTTTGGTATAATTCGCCCTATGTTCAGCAATGGTGCTGAACCAGCAGAACATGTATGCGACTCCGGCAGTGTGCATGCACTGCTATGCGGCTCCTGACGAGCCAGATATAGGTGAGAAACTCTGATGGTGCACGCGTCTGGAAACTGTTTCGCATACTTTCTGAAGCTTCACATAGCGGGCGCATCGACTGCATATAGCTTCTGCAACTCACCAACTCAGCCCAGTGCTAACGAAAGGGGGCCTAGGGGCGGGAACTACTGGCACTACGACTTCGCCGCACCAATCACGACTATTTTGTTTTCTGTTTTAGCTATTTGGGAAGACGACTGTCTCCATGTCACCCCCAAAAGAGCTTCGGAGTTGGAGCTAACAGACGGAGTTTTGGCGATCTGTGCTAAAACACAATCTCATTGGTTTCTCTAGACCAGAGTGGAGAATGGCGGGTGTCTCTGAGTGGCGCGCTCCGTTGATCGTACGTTGCTTGTTCTGCGCCAAATCCGTAGCCTTGCCAGCAACTTTGTTACAAGATCTGGCATAAGAAATCGATCGCCTTGGCGAAGGCAACTGAGTGACAAATGCGGTACCTCCTGTGGTAGACTTTGAATGGGAAAGCTACGGGCTTGCTCGGCTCAACAGTATTTCAATATTGTCGCAACGTTTACAACCAAGAACATCAACGTCGGCACATCAGTGGGGGGATACATTCCATGGCCTTATACTGGAATTATGGCTTCATTGTCGGGTGTCCAGACTCAAGCTTCCGGTCGCTACAACGTTGTCGCCGAAAACGTGGAGTATTCGTCAGAGCTCCACACCAGACATATGCCGTGCAGCATTTTAGTCTACGGTTCTTCTCGAGCAAAAAAGCAAATGCCGGCAATGCTTTGAAGTAGGTACTCGCCCGCCAGCCACACCGAAACAACGGTTTTGTTTATGTCAACCAAAGTCATCAACGATTTTTACCATGAACATTCTCACCCGTAAGACGCAGGTGGCACATGCATAGGAGTATAGTCCGAAAACTGGTTCCCGGCGATGAGACTAGATCGTATGCTTGTTTCGATGTATATGTCGGGAAAAAGCAGTGCATGAATGACAGGAGCGAAGGGGTTTAAGATACTTGCGAGAGCCATGCATTATTGCGATGGTTGAGGTGTGAGCTGAGCTGCCCAACTTCCACTCCTTCTCGTGATTGATTCACGTCGCCATTTGCTTCGACTATGGCGCTGGCTACTAATTTGCAGCCGCTGGCTTATGCCGTGGCCTACGTTACCTTCTTTTTGGGCACCACTTCGACTTTCTTGAGATTCTACTGTCGCTACATTGTATCGCGAATTTGGGGATGGGATGACTACTTCGCTGTGGTGGTCTTCATCTTCAGTCTCGCTCAGCAAGGTGTTTTGCATATGTTTTTGTACTGGGGATGCGGATTGTAAGGACCACAGCTACTTCAAACCGAGATGCTAAGGCTAACATATATATGCAGACATATGGATGTTCTTAACACCATTCAGCAATTCGAGATTGTCAAGGTATGTCCATGTCCGAGACGATTCAGTAACAGTACTGTGCTGATGAATTGCATCAGTGGCTTTTTGTCGAGGAGATAATCTACTACTCTGTTCACTGGGTCATTAAATCCGCTTTTCTCTTCTTCTACCTCCGGTTATCGCCCGAGATTACCGCCTTCCGGTATGCCGTCTACGCTGGCGTGGGTTTGAACACTATTGTATGGGCGTGCAATATGTTAGTCATCCTCTTGTATCTGCCTCACACCCGTACAAGACTAATGTAGCATAACCAGGCTTCTTGCTTGCATTCAGTGCTTGCCTTTTGACGAAATCCTGCATCCGGGCACGCACGCAGACGCCTACTGTATGCACAAACTTATCGTCCTCGTCGGACCATGCTTATTGGTAAGCACCCCTTCTTATTCTATTCTCAAATCCCCCCAGCTAACCTGGAACCCCTCTTAGAACATCGCCTTGGATCTATATATCCTCATTCTGCCCATTTCCACCATCTGGAGCTGCCAATTGCCTTTGCGTCGCAAGGTCGCCGTCCTCAGCGTTATCGCATTCGGTAGCATATCCGTCATCATCGCAACATTCCGCCTGATTCCGCTACTCCAACTCGGTGACCAGTCCGGTGAGCCCATTGATACCTCTTGGATTCTAGGTAAAATGGTCATCATCGCCTCACTTGAGGTGCAATTCGCCATCGTCGCCGTCAACCTCCCTCTACTCAAGAAACTCTTCACAAGCCTCGCAGACGACGATAGTCTAGTAGAAGCACCGCAAGACTGGAAGTGGAAAGCCCGCAGACTTTCCTCAAACTGCAGCGACGACTCGGAAGATGACGATTTCTATGTTTCTGGAGGGAACGGACGCGGTCACCACTGGCGAAAGAGCAAAGCTATGTCCCACGACAGTTTCAGAGCAAGCATCGCTTCGAGTCTGGCATCTGACGAAGCATCTCTTGAGGCTGGTGTGGCTGTCGCACTGCCAGTATTATGGGTCAAGACCAATGTGCAAACGGTCAGAGTGGGAAGAGGTCATGTTAGTAGAGGACATGTGGTTAGGAGTCTGGTTAGATATAGTTTTGAGAGGGTTGAGGATTGTTTCCCTAGAGGCCACTTCTTGAGGACCTATGGTAGGCCCGAGTCGAGGAGACCGATGAGCGTTTTGCCGACTTGTATGGAATTATGACAGGTTTCAATGAATGGATATGAGATCTTATCGCAGTGTCGTTTATGCTACGAATGCTTCTTGCATAATGTTGACTTTCGGAGTGCAATATCCCGCGGTCGCGAATCGCCGTACATCACACGGAGAAACTGTTGCCGGCTGTCTACGAAGGGGAAAGAGCAAGCATGAAAATATGTACTACGTCTTAGAGTTTGGATCCATTGGGTAGATTGAGGATCTGTGGGCAGCTTATGCAGAATCGGGAGGGCTTCATGCTCGTTTCGTGCATTGGAAGTATAGTCATAGTCTGTCACGCACTGGACAACTGTGAGCAAGCCTTGGTGTTGTACTTGCAGTGCATTGATGGAGCACAAGTTGACGACAGTCATTCAGAAGGGAGACAAGCATTGGTTGTCCTTTCCACCGACTATTTCGCCAAGCATCGTAATTATTCAGCTGCCAAGTTCCATGGGGAGCATCGAGCAAAACTCAAAATTGCTCTAGAAAACGTTGCTTTGAAAATAGTAGCGGTCAAATCCAGCGCGCCTCGTGCGCCGATACACTAAACAAGTCGTCCTATCTTGTATATATTCGCATGCTGGATTCGTGCCTGTATTTTGTTCTGCTTCCCGCAATGGAGCGGCGACACGCCTCGAGACAGTTGTTCGCAAATCCACAGCTTCAAGACTTGGAGCTATTGAAACAATTCTCCTATATCTCGCGCTGCATCCCACTAATGACACCTACTGTATCTCTTTATCGTCCGTACTATCCATCTCTTTTACGTACTTGCGGGTTCTAGAACAACATGCGAGATTGGAGATTGCGGCGCAGCCACTACTACACCACCACCCGTCTACCACCACCTGTCTGTCGACCCCGCTTCTCGATAGCTTGTTGCGACCAATTCGGCAGGTACATTCAAGATACGCGCAATGATCCCACGCAAGCTTCAAGGTATATATAAAGTACCGCAGCACAGCAATCTACTACTTGTAACACTGTTTACATCTTGCTTCCCTGATCATCCGACTTAGGTACAATGTCCACTCTCGCTACTCAAAAGGCAACGACGCAGACCGTGCTCGATGCATACAATGCATGGGACATGGAGAAGATACTAGCGTTTCGAGCGCCAGACTGTAAACAACAAGTCATTCCTGCATCCATGGGGCGACCAAGTATGAGCAATGACGAATACCGCGAACGCCTAAAGCAAATACTGCCATGCTTCAGGAACTTCACTGTAAAGCACACGGCGTATTGCCTGAGAGACTTGCAAGCGGCTAACGTCATCCTAGGTTACCGTCCACACAGCGGTGCATGATGCGGACGCGCATACATGTATCATGCATGCGACAAGTACGGCCGATACTGACATTGGTCCATACGCAAACGAATACGCACTAATTTTGCATTTCACCGAGGATGGAAAGAAGGTTACCAAATTTCTGGAATACGTAGACTCGGCTTATTCGATAAAATTCTTTGCGGCGCTGGCGGCGGCGGGACTTGGAACTTAGTGGGACTGCAGAATGACGATTCCAGACGTGGCTAGATCATTTGGATATGTAGCATTCGCTGTGCTCTACTACGTTCAACCTCGGTTCAACCGATTGTCACCTACCTTGTCCCTCCGAAACCATGTTACCGCTTCTCGAAATCACCTTCAGGCTTCCCCGGTGAATGTGTTTGCACATGATTGTCAAATTCCTTGCCCGAGAATTTGCCCTCGCGAACTTTGTTCTGGTTCTTGTGCGCCGCGATGCTGTGTTTGTTGACGCTATCGCCATGGCGGTCTTCGACGGGTTTGGGGACGTCGGAGGCGTAGGCGGATTTGTGTTGGTGTCCTGGCCGAGTGGATTTACTGTGATCCGGGGGGCTGGGAGAAGTGGAGGAGGCTGGAGAGGGTGAGGAAGCCGGGGAGGGTGAGGAGCTGGTGGTGTAGTAGAGGGCCGCAGCACCGACGGCGGCGGTTGTGGTGAGCCTTGGGTAAGTCAGCACGGTGTGTGTCGGTTGAAGGTAAGTAGAGTAGGAATGCGTGTCCAGTGGGTTGTCCAGCGGGTGTTGGGATGCAAGTTGCGGCGCGATGAGAGTTTGTGATGGGATCTCGACTACTCACCACGTCAATCGCGAAGATACCTTCAGTGTTTCTTTGGTGCGCTGATCATAGTTGGTCGCATACTGCCTCCTCGCTGCTAGACAGACCTGGCGCGGTGCGCGGGATAGAGCTCGTAGTGACATTGCTTTTATGGAAATTATTGTGGAAAGATTGGAAACCGTATACAATGAGCCAGATGGTCCCTAGTAGAGATTATCGCGTATTGTAGATTGTCAATGGCCAATTTGGTCGCAGATACTTGGGTATGTATAAACGGTGTGTTGTTCGCGCGCTGCAAGGTACGCTATCTACGTCATCGACGTGTTTACGCGCCTGCTTTCTGGAACGCCGCGTCTGCAAACGTCCCTGGCGTGCGTCACCATCACGGCTATCATTGGTGGAACCCTGCGCCTTGCTACTGAGAGTCGTGAACGAGTGGTTGCAGATCGTATATGTTTGTAGACAGATGGTGTCTCGTGTCGAAATTCCTACTTTACCCACAGGTCAATGCTGTAAACAACTAAAGCGCGCGAAGAGGCAAAGGGGGGTGGGCAGCACTAGAGACGGTAAGGACGAAGAGCACCTAGATATACAAGAATGCCTATGATATCAGATCTATTAGTCGATCGTGGCTTAACGCCTTGTTTGTAATTCCTTGATGGTGTTGATACGGGACCGCCGGGAGTTTATGCGTGGCAGCGCTACCCGTAAGCCCTAGTCTCGAACATTATGTACATGTCTCGAATCGAGCGTCCGCCAGTTGAGGCTCTCTTCTTGTTGTAGATTGTAGCAAAAAGATAAAAAAAAAACATCTCATAACTGTGGAGAAGGATATTTTGCATCCTCCGGGAGTCGAACCCGAGCCAATTGCTTGGAAGGCAATTATCCTACCGTTGGACCAAGAATGCTGGTTGGTAAGATAGTAGAGAGATCATGAGAGAAATCTATATCTCTACATCGTTGCACTGTGGGCTAGGGTCACGATGCTCGGAAAAGCGTTGATGGGCGCTCAAGTACCACAGCTGTGGGCCTTTTCTCAATACCAAGATGATCTGGTTCCAATGCTCGGCCACGACATTACAAAGAGCAACCAGCAATCACCTACCCTCACATTACAGTAGACGAGATCCTGTTGTGGAGAATCAAATAAAGGTGGTATCGTGTGCGTCCAAAGGGTCCTCCATTGAGGCATGTCGACGTGTTCAAGGAGTGCATATGCTCTTCGCCTTTTAAAACATCCCCAATGAAACCAGGATTGGCGGAATAGTTATACCATACCAGCTTCTCTTTACTCAGCTTAGAGGCGCACAGCTCTTTCTAAGCTTGCAGGTCGGTATGCGAAAGTAATGCCTGTAACGACAACATGGGCTGGATCACTTAGGGAATAGGCAACTCGAATGGATCCTGTTTCTGGTCAGTAGTGATGAATCAAAGCTCATGTGCAATGAGTGTGACTGTCTCCAGAGTGTAGCTGTAATCTCTAGCTTACACGTCGACGGCGGTGGTGGAGTGTTGGTGTTTCGATCGTCCACGATCGTCATCCCGCTGGACCCTTGCTTAGTCTGCGATTAGTTGTCAAACGACGTAACTTCCATCACCCCCAGATCACGGCTGGACACGCGGCTGCCTAGACATCAAATCTGCATATCAAGGTTCCCGTGTGTATTGAGAAGATATCACAGTCGCCTCGTCAGATACCGACAAACTGCGCACAATGACTGAGCCAAACTCTGCCCCGCACGACGAACGCGACCCCGCGGCCACGGTCGACGCGAACGAAACACGCGACGACGACAAAGATGGGCACAAGCCACGAGACAGCAGCGGCTGGGACGGGAAGCTGCGCATAGACAAGATGACTATCGGCGACGAACCTAGAGATCCACATGCGCAGGTTGTGAGCGACCCGGAAGTATCAGACGATGAGGGCCCGCCCCCGGAACAGTTGGCCGCAGATGAGGATTTGCTCGACGATACGCCGGAAGACGAGGATGACATAGAGATTGTCCACTCCAAGATTTCAGACATGTCGGCGTTACGGTTGGAGCGGTTCAAGCAGATGAAGGTATGCTATCGTCTGCGTCGTGAATGAATTTGCCTAATGTCATAGCGTCTTTGCTTGCGCCAAAACCGCATAGAAAGCATCGCGATACCCGAAGACGTCGCACCCACTCTCACAGAAGTCGATCTCTATGACAACCTGATAGCGCATATCAAAGGGCTCGATGCCTTTACCGAACTCACGTCGCTCGACCTTTCTTTCAACAAAATCAAGCATATCAAACGGCTGAACCATATGACCAAGTTGAAAGACCTATACTTTGTGCAGAACAAGATCAGCAAAATAGAGAATCTCGACGGGCTATCGAATCTGCGACAGATCGAGCTCGGCGCAAACAGAGTGCGAGAGATTGAAGGGCTGGAGACGCTGACGGGGCTGGAAGAGTTGTGGCTGGGCAAGAACAAGATCACTGAGATCAAGGGTCTGGATAGTCTCACCAACCTCAAGATCCTCAGCATACAGTCGAATCGTCTACGCTCGATAACGGGCCTGGAAAAGCTCGTCAATCTCGAAGAGCTGCACATCTCGCACAATCTCCTCACCGAGATATCAGGCCTGGAGAACAACGTCAATCTAAACGTCATCGACATCAGCGCGAACCCGATCGAACACCTCACCGGGTTGAAGGGCCTCAAACACCTCACGGAGTTCTGGGCGAGCAACTGCAAGTTGAGTGACTTCAACGAAATCGAGAAGGAGCTGAGGGATAAGGAAGAATTAGAGACAGTCTACTTTGAGGGTAACCCACTGCAAAGGTCACAGCCAGCGTTATACAGGAACAAGGTCCGGCTAGCGCTACCACAGGTTGTGCAAATTGATGCTAGTAAGTCTCTTCCACTTCCCGGCGTTTCCAAGAACAGAACTTAATGCCACGACAGCGTTCGTAAAACAAGTTTAGGTGGACAGGTCTCGGAATAGATATGGGAGTAGAGGCAAGGCATTTACATGGCGCACTGGGAAGAAGCTACAGGCGTTCAGGCAAGCGTACATGTGGCACAGAGACGCGGTGATGATACCCAATAAATGCATGGTATTGTTGACTGGATTATTGCCCGTGCAGTTCAAGAATGACCAACAACACAACAGACACGACGCAACGGGTCGAAAATTGATGAATGCAAGGTCTCTGAATTCTGCTTACTTGACCAGACAATCTAGACGACTTTCGCCTCTGAAACCTGCTTGGTATTTATAACACTATCTATCTACTCTGGGACCCAGTCAGGACCTTCCGCCTGGTAAAGCATCGGCTTCGGGTTAACGCAGAGCTTTCCATTCTCATTTGGCAACCCATCGACACTGCGTACGTTGAAAAACTCACTTCCCACTGCACCTGTGGCCCAGAAAAGGTTGAACGGGTCAAACTTGCGCTTCGCCTCCAGGAGACGCGGATAAAAGCTACCCCAGAACGACCACTGGAAATTAGGTTCAAGACGATCTCCCTCCGAAAGGTAGGATCCGGAGCCGGGTGTGATGTCGCGCCACTTCTGCATGACGCCGTAGGTCATGTTGAGGCGCTCCTCGATAATCTCCGCAGCTGGATTTGTCATGTTGAGAACAGTGCCGGTGATAATAAAACCAAGCATGTTGCGCCAGGCTGGGTTGACAGAGTTATCAGGGCGTCCACCCTTTTCCCAAGATGGTGCCATGTTGTAGCCAATCAGCGCCATACCTTCATCAACCGCCCCCCAGAGAGCTTCGAAAGTCTCATCAAAGATAGATTCGTTTGCCCAGTTGGAACGAGGGATCATACGCGAGGTAGTGGCGACGCCATTGCTGTTGACACCTTCCACAGGGAAAGAGCCATTGTAGGCATCGTAGAATCCGTTATACTGTGTCCATTTGGGTTCGACGGTGATCCCGAGTGCAGCCATGTCCTTTACCCAAGGATCAACAAGAGCTTTGGCCTCTTCAACAGTTTTTCCGGGAGCGAAAAACGGCGACATGTCCATCATGATCGAGTCTGGCGACGGAAATACCTTCCAATACGCGTAAGTATTGTTGTCGGCGTTCTGTGGAAAGTACTTCATGTATGCCTTTAGTCCTTGCTTGAAGGCGTCAGTGCTGGCATTCTTGCCTGTGGTGACGAGCCAGTTGGCGGAAGCGATAGGTTGATCCGGGTGCATCTTGACGGTGACAGAAGTTACAACTCCGAAGGTCAGACCTCCACCACCACGTAGTGACCAGAACAGCTCAGGGTTGTTGTTCTTATCAGCAGTCACATAGCGACCATCTGCCATGACGACCTCCATGGAAAGCACATGGTCAGCGCCGATGCCAAGGGATCCCGATAGAGGCGAGTGGCCACCACCTTGGATCCATCCGCCCATCGCGCCGACAGTAGGGCCTAGACGATAACAAAAGGTCAGTATGCATCACACACAAGTATTGTAGGGAGCAGATACTGACATTCACCTCCCATGACAGTACCACCGAAGTCTCTCGCAGCCGCGTAAAGCTCAAAGCCCTGAGCACCCGAGCCAGCTTTGATAGCAGGACCAGAGTAGTCATCCGACTCGTAATTCTCAATGAACGCGATGTCTTTCAGGCCATGAGTCCATACACTAAGGGAGCCAGCACCACCACTCTTCCCCTAGATACTGTTAGCAAAACATCAACAACTTGAAGGCTAAGAACATACGGCAAAATCTAAAGGTAGGTATACGAAGTCAGTACCCGTTTCACATACATCTCGTACAGGGACATTACTAACCATGACCGGTGTTACGAACGACGAATCGGACGCCTGTGTTTCGAGCAAAGTTGAGTGCCAGCTGAATCTGGGCAGTAGTCGAAGCATTGACGACGTAGAGAGAGTAGCCTCCTTGGGTACACTGTTTGCTGTTGTATATCTGAGGGGGTTGGCATGTACTTCCTTGGTACAATGGACTCAGCATCTCAATGGGGTCATCCAGCCTGGTCGTATATATCAGTCAACAATTACTTGAAGGTGGTATGTCATGTTTGACGTACTGTGAGAATGGATCCGTCCATGACTTGGTCATAGCATCGCAAGCGCTCCGGTCGATGCCACCCAAAGTACTGTTGTAACAGATGTGTGCCTGTGGAAGAGGCTTCATCAGAGCACCATTGGTGACATCATTGAGTGCTGACCAGCTTGCCTCCGCTGGCCAATCTTCGTCGCCAGGGAAGACTTTGCATTCGCGGCCGTTGAAGGTGCTGTCTGTGTCAAGCACGATGTCGCTAGCAATGTTGTGCGAAGCGAATTGGAAAAGAGACTTCAAATCAGCTGGTACTGAGGCCAAGGCTTGCTCGATGGTCGTGTCCGTCAGGGATGACTGTTCCCAATCGAATCGAGGAAGGGTACCGTCCGTTGTCTGCTCGATGCGTGCAAAGTTGCCCGACTGGCGATCGGCAAGACGCATGGGAGGTTCTGCGGAGCGAGGCGCGAATCTGGCTGCAGCAGATGCTACAAGGAGCGCACTAACAAATGAGGAAACCATGGCTGCGGGTATTGAGCCGCAATGAAGAAACAAGAAGTCTCCGAGAGCCTGGAGAATGGAAAAAGAAAGCGAGAGAATGAGGTTATTTGAGGAAGACAAATTAAGAGTCGTATGCCGTCTCCGCCACTGGATTGACTGCCGAAATCTCGCTCGACCACAACTGACCTCGATAGTAGTACACGATTCATGTTTCGCCTCACAGCAAACGTGCGGATTCTGCGGGGTCTGTGGGGTCTGACCTAGATTTGGGTAACGGCCCGTGGTGCCTCTTGTCTACGCCGGCGTTATGAACCGTCTTCACAATATGCAAGAGGCACAGTCCTAAAGATGTGCGAACAAGCGTATGTATCCTCGAAACCATGTCTTAACGCAAGGTGACGCATGGATTCAGAAAGCGCTGCCCTCTCGTCAGAACAAATTGCTCGAGGGTCAGACATGGGTGGTCGCGAACTTCTCGGAAACCCCTCCAGATTCAGGTGGCGGGATTTCACTCACTGCGTAGGCGAACCGTTGATCAGGGTTTCGACAATCTCCGCGTGGGTTTGTGATTGTCCACTGACCAATGTGATCAGAAATCGCTATGAAAAAAACTTGGACACAATGCTTGGCTCTACTGCCACGGCTCGCTTGCATGCATCCAAGAGGCGGTCGAGAGTTCTGTATAATGTGAGAAGGCTCGGGGAAACGGCATGGCTGCTCGATAGGATCAAAGAGGCAACGTGAAAGTGAGGTCCATCAGCATCAGCGAATCCAAGAGCCTGAACATAAGGAAGAGACCCACTATAAGCAAGGTGGGGGTTATTAAAAGGATTTGGCGTCAACCGTCACCGCCTGGAGATGCGAACAACTGTTCGTAAGGTTCCCTAAGTTTGTCAGTTTAAATCCGATTCGGTTGTTTCCTCTCTGTCGTGGTTTCGTATCATTCAGGACCTTATTCTATCATATTTCCATGAGCAATTGTCCCCGCTGTCGACAATGTGGGTTGGAAATTAGTCTGACTGTCTTGCGAACTAACAAGCCAGTGCTTGACGCAGGTGTGCGGCACGGGAGGGCCGAGGAGCTGACCCGCTGTTCGATAACCCAAATGGGAATAGCGTTGGCTTCGGATGCGGTCCGAGGCTTCGATCAACAGCTAAAAACTTCCGTAATCGGTGTATTTTTGCACCAAAGCCGTCAATGAGGTTCCGTTGCTAAAAACATGTGTTACGCGTCTAACGAAAGAGCGCTTGAGAAGACAGTTTTTGAGGCTTCTAATTTCCAACTTAACGTGCTCCAAGATGTCGCTGCAACAGAACCTTAGAACCCCTGAGGCTCGGCAGCAAGGATTTTGTTAGCAAGAAGTCGCACTGCGTTAGATAACAACACGGCTCGCAATCGAAGCAAAGGAGTGATCTGCGTACTTGAGGCACAGTGCTCTTCATCAATCAAATCGAATCAAGGCATACCTACCTAGGTACTTGAGCCGCGGAAACGATGTAGGATGCGTATGACATCCCAGTGGTTCATTTCACTCGTGCCGCCGTGGCATTGGTATTGCAAGTCATGCTTCATGGTATCGAATCCACAAAAACATCGTTATATGTTGATGCGGTCGGCTGGTTCAACTTGATCGTAGTCTCTCCTTTTGTACCCCGATCTACACACTTGTCAAAACGACACGGCAGTCATGAATTTACCCTCAGATTCAAAGCAGCCTGCCATTTTCGCTATTACCATTGTCTTTGCTTCTATCAGTACTCTTCTTGTGGGCGTACGACTGTACCACCGGTTTCTAATCAAACAGTTCCATTGGGGTAAGCCGCTCGAAAGCCATGAGGCTATGCAACATATAGCTAATAAGATACTTAGATGATGGCCTCATATGTATGGCATGGGCATTAGCAGTTGCGCAAGCGGGCGTTTTTCTCAAGTTTGCCGTGTTGACGAACCAGGGACATCACATCTGGAATATCGCTACACCCACAATCGATCAACTCGTCGAGGCGGACAAGTGGAACATGGCTCAGCAGCTCCTATACAACCCCATCCTTTGTCTTGTGAAAGCATCGGTACTAGTCTTTTTGATAAGACTGGGCGACCAAAGAACTCTGGTTTATTGGAGTTTGCATAGCCTCTGGTGGTTCAACATGGGCCATATGATATCCGTCTTCTTCGCCGCTTTGACACAATGTCTGCCTATTCACATGTACTGGAACCACTACTACACGGACGAGACTATAAACGGCAAGGTTGTCAATCCGAATTATCAGTGCTACAACATGGCCGCTTTTTCTCTCGTCACTGCCGGCCTCGCGATTCTGACAGATGTTCTCATACTGCTCGTACCCGTAGCCATGATGTGGAACTTGCGCATCGCACTCCGCCAGAAATTCGCTGTCAGCGCCGTACTCTCTGTCGGCTGGATCGTAGCCATTCTCGGCGTTGTTCGGTTCAAAGTTTTCTATGACTTTTGGTACCCATCGAGCACCTCCAACGACCCTACGTACAAAGTTTCCATTACCCTCTCCGGCATCGAAGTCAACGTCGCGATCATGACTGCCTGCGGTCCCGCGCTCAAAGCCCTAGCAACGCGATGCGTACCGAACCTTTTCAGCTCCAAGAGTACCACACAGATGAATGCCTACTACACACGCGGATACGAAATGAATTCAGGTACTGGCACAACAAAGAACGGTCGCTTCATTACTACGGCGCTCCAGCCACGCGACAACGACAGCGATAGCCAAGCGCACATTGTGCGCGATAGCAGTTCGCATACAGACAACAAGAGTATAGAAGCACCATCGATAGAGGAAGCGGCGGCGGTACCAAACAGCAATACGTTGACAATCAGCAAGGGCTGAGAGTCACGCGTCGAGAAAGAGGAAGTACATTTATGGACTCTGGAAAGCTTCCCAAACAGAACAACAAATGAGAAAGTACCTTTACCTTGAGACAGAATTGTGAATCCTCAAGTACTCGGATTATAGAACAGGTAGTGCTTTAAAATCTTAATTGTAAACATAAAAGAAGCTTTCAAGTATTGTGTGCACGTTTTCGCAAACATTCTCATAATGCGCCACTCCTCAGTGCGGAGTACGATGGCCTGATGTATCATATGCAAACTTATTGGAAAGTAGGGGAGTTACTCCGACGCTGCATGCAGCTTAAAGATTCTGGAGGAAGAAGGGACGAACTTCTTCACAATCCTAGCGCGGTGATCACTTGTGATCTGATTGGAGGAGCTTGACAACGACGCCGGTCAGCTGCTCTTTCACAGCTCACTCCCTCAGCAACACCAACAACTGCGAACTAACTGCCATGCTGAAAGGAAGCCTCGCTATATCAATACTATTAACCATGAGTGGGAGATGGGTAAGGCCGACAGCAGCGTCAATATCGTCGCATGCGGACAAGTTATGCGAGATCCAAAACTGCATATACACAACTTCTACCTTGGTGGTGAGCTGAAAGAATATCGTTCTACCCTCGCTCTGGACTTAACAAAAGCACTTTTGCTAAGTCTCACTAGCATAATTCAGCTGTTGAGAGGTTTATCTGTATCTGCCGAGGTGTTCTGAGGACTTGGTCAGGCCCCGCAAGTATACTGATGTGAGAGGAAGATATCATGCATCCGGATCCACATCTCTAGGTATCAGTTGTCACAGTCAGTACACACAATGGGCAGAGAAAGCCTAATCCCAGAGAGCCTCTTACCTGGATCTATAGTTGCACACCCGCTTGAAAGTTGCTTCGGACCCACCATGTAAGATTTGCTTTTTCCTTCACATCGGAGCGCATTGCCTACATCAATGAGATTGTAGCGTTTCATTGGTAATGATGGTCTACATTCAGAGTGTTGCCTCTTTTGCTTCCTAGGTATCATATGCATATGCCACGTCAATATCGTCTATCGCCAGTTACTGCTTCTTCCGTAACTACATAAGCCTTTCCATTGAACCCAAATTTCTTAACTCCAAAAGCAAATCATCCAAGCCCAGCTGATCACTACTTCAGTTGCGTTCTTCCAGTTCTCCGTGGCTGCTGATATACCTGCTCAGCAGAGTGGTACCTGGCCTGGTGACAGACAAATGCGAGGTTGCACCTAAAAGTTCGTATCGCCATTGATCTTCATGTCATTCACACCATTGGCGATACCTTCCGCACTGAGGCCGTTCGCCGCACCACTCTGATAGTCACGAGTGATCTCTTCAAGCATACCGGCACTGGCAGCGACGAAGCCCAAGTAAGGCCTGCTTGGGTCCAAGACGCGGGAGAGGTATTCCGGGTGGAATTGGACACCAACGAACCAGGGGTGGTCCTTGATTTCAATAACCTCCATACGTACACCAGCGTCGTCTTTGCCGACGAAGCTCAAGCCACCCTTTTCGAGCGTCTCGATGTAGTCGGGGTTGACTTCGTAGCGGTGACGGTGACGTTCAAGAATCTCTTCCTTGCCAGCGTATAGAGCGCGGAGCTTAGACCACTCGCTACCCGGCTGGAAGAGAGTCGGTCGGAGACCCAGACGCATCGATGCGCCCATGGTCGTCTTGTCGACCTCCGGCATGAACATGATGAGCTTGTTCTGGGCATCGCCGTTGAACTCCTCGGAAGTTGCGTCCTTGATACCACAAACGTTGCGAGCGTACTCGATGACGGCGATTTGCATGCCTAGACAGACACCAAGATATGGCTTCTTGTGCTCACGCGCCCAAGTAGCTGCCGAGATCATACCCTCTGTGGCACGCTGACCGAAACCGCCAGGCACAAGGATACCAGATGCCTTGACAACCTCATGCCAAGCCTTGTGGTACTTTTCAGGGTCTGTCTTTTGACACTTAGGCTCCAGGTGATCTGAATCAACCCAGCGAATGTCCAGTTTCCTCCTGCATCGCATCGTGGCGTGTTCCAACGACTTGACGACTGACAGATATGAATCCTGGAGTTCGACGTACTTTCCGACCAGTGCAATCGTCACCGGGTCGTGAAAGCGGCTGTCGTGGCCTGTAAGCGACTGCCATTGCGCCCAGATATGGTTGCCCTTTTGCAGCATGGAGGGCGAGATAGAGGTCTGCTCAAGAGCAAGGAACTGGCGGACCATGGGGATCAATCTCTGTTGCTCGAGAAGCATGGGTACTTGGTAGATGGACGGCATGTCACGCACAACCAGGACTTGTTCGTTTTCGACCTGGCAGAAGTGGGCAATCTTCTCTACCGCAGAGGCTTCGAGTTCGCGTTCGCAACGGCAGGCAATCTAGAACAGTCAATCATTTACTCACAACACAGGTGACAGTGCACTCCAAGGACAGATACGCCAGCTAGTCGCCAACACAAAGGTCTTGAAGTTGCCCAGCGAAAATGTACGCACCAGATCTGGGATCAGACCGTTACTCCTCACCGCCTTGATGGCCTGCTGCGTAGGCTTCGTCTTCTGTTCGCCGTGAATAACAGGCACATACGAGACGTGAATCTGCATAAAGTTGTTCTTGCCTGCGCGTCTCCTGAGCTGGCTCATAGCCTCGATGAAGGGCATGCTCTCAATATCACCCACAGTACCTCCCAACTCGATTATGCAGACGTCAGGCTCTTCGCCTGAGTCATCGACGGGTATCCGCGCGACTTTCTCGATCCAGTCCTGAATCGCATCGGTGATGTGTGGGACGACTTGAACGGTTTTACCCAGATAGTCGCCCTTGCGCTCGCGTTCGATGACGTGCTGGTAGATCTTGCCGGTGGTGATGTTGTTGTCGCGTGTGAGGGTGATGTTGAGGTAGCGCTCGTAGTTACCGAGATCGAGGTCAACTTCGCCGCCGTCGGAGAGGACGAACACTTCGCCATGCCTATAGATAGTTTAGTTTAGATATAGCAATCATGCTGGCGAGGCCTACTCCTTCGGGTTCATAGTCCCTGCATCTACATTGAGGTACGGGTCGACCTTGATCGACGAGACGTGCTAAGACGTCAGTATGGTCGGCAGAGCGCGTCAGTTCGCTGCACTTATCTTGAGACCGATCGTCTTGAGCAAGAGGCCCGTAGACGAGGCTGTGACGCGTCAATCAGCAGCGGTACATAAAACGAAGATTCCTGTGCATAAGTTGCTGTGTAGTGGTGCAGTTCGGCAACGCTCTAAGAGCCATGATCCTAGAGAGGATGAAGTGCTCTGCATAGACCACAAAAGCCCTGCAGGCTCGAACTCGCGTGAGATTTCTCGCGCACGTCACAAGAGCTTACCTATGATACCCTGTGTATACGCATTAGTGGTGATCAAAGGCGCAGCAACCTGCAGCTTACCTTCCCCACGCCGCTGATGACGCCGCCAGACACAAGCACGTATTTCATGATGTTTTGCTTTTGGTGCCTCAATCGGTTATGGGGAAGGGGAGGGAAGGAAGGAAAGCTGAGATTTTGCACGCGTTAAGTTGGAAAGAAAATCGACGCATGGACCATCTAGCGGGGCTGATCCCCGCATTAGCGTCCTCGAGGCGTGAGGCTTGCCTGGCAACCATCATCCTTCGGCGAATCTTGACCTCACAGCTTCATTGATGAGGCATAATGCTGCTAGCCTAGCTAGCGTCTCTTTGTGTTATTTGCAAATACGAGCTATCAGAAATGGTATCGTGCTCCTTTCCATCGAATATCAAATGCATTACAATATAGCCGCCGCACCGAGTCGTCCGACCCCTCTTGTATTGCGCGAACGCCATGCAAACAGCCTCGTCGCCACCAGCTAGAAAATTAAGATGTAGATCGTCCGAGGGAATGTTGTTGGTTCATCATGTCGTCAAGATGCAAGTCGGTATCAGCGAAAAATGCTCCAGATAACCCAGGTAGCAGCCCACGCCGTCCGCTGTAGTTGATGCTTGTGAGAAAAGTAAATGCCGTAGAGGTTATGTTCAGATAGTTATTCCCTGCGCCTCCGCTTCAACTCATCCTCCTCTTTATTATCGTGCTCTTGACTTGCGGTAAGTCGTTTGCGCGCCAGTGCTTTCTCATTGCCTTTCTTCACTTGGATGTTGCATCCTTGTAACTTCAATGCTCGGGTAAGAGCACTGCTTGGTCTCATGCCAGGAAAGTCCTTGGCCGTATAGACGGTGAAGACGTCGCTCAAGACTTCGGTAAGTATTGGCGAAAAGCCTCCCACGTGGAGGTTCATCGGATCGATACGCATTAGGACGAACCGAAGTCGGTATTTGCCATGTGTACGACACGAAAGGTCTGGAAAGCAGAAGAAGCAACCTTCGGCATCATGCTCATCCTTTGCTACTGATGGCGATGCCACGAGCTGACCCATTAATCGCCGCGTCGTTCGCCGGTCGGGCTGTATGAGTGCTGTCTCTTCGTTCGTCCCCTCGGCATTCCAGAGGGTGCAATGAACCACGTTGAGCGAGTAACGTAATTCTTCTTGCTCTGCGGCACCGGTTTTCGGATCTGTTACAAGGAGCTGGATGATTGGCGGTGGGTCAATTACCCTTCGGTCACGTTCTCCGAACCCACATGCTCGCGCGGCGATGGGTTGTTGCCGCACACGAAGTTCGTAGTTCAAGTTTCTGTATGCGTCAGTGGGAGATCGCTTACTTGGTCAGTGTGGAAGTATCCTTACAGCTGCTCGTTGTACACCGGCTGTGGTATCGAACCTGGTAATGGAATTGCTCGATGCTGTTTTTGAGGTGGAGGAGCCGTTGCAGGCGGCTCCGAATACGCAATGGCACCGAGTGGGGCTGCTATGGAGCCTCGATGTGACTGTGAATGCTGGCGGGAACCTACAGATCCGCGGAATGGAGTACTACTCGATGCATAGCTCGGTGTATACCCAGGTGATGGCAGTGGAGGATATGACCTTTGCTGCGAGGCCTCTACTGGGGATGTGAGGGATGAGTATGGCTGCTCGTGGTGTTGACTATGATGGTAGTGCCGGGGTTCCTCGTAAGGATAGCGGTGTTCTGTCAATCTCCGCGGTCCTCTGCTGTCGAACTCGGAACGTGGTGAGATGGAAGGGCCATATTGCTGAGGCGAATATGGAGGGTCTGATCTTGGTGGGGTGTAGGGATTTGAATGTTGTAGTAGTTTCTCAACAGGAGCTGCTGATCTATGTACGGAGGGCGGCTGGGGGTAGTCTTGTCGCGGAGGCAATCCAGCATGAATCGAGGGCAGTTGGTTGATGGGTGAGCGGAACTGGTGATCGGACCGGGGTGGTACAGCGTCTGGTGGGATCTCTAGCGGGGGAAGTCGGCGGTGAGAATAGTCGAGGAAGCCAGGGGGGGAGAAGATGGGAAGTTTCTGGGTCTCAGTCATATCTGAAGCAGGACGAGAAGTTGTTGTCAGAGGGAGCGACGGCGGCGGAGGAGGAGGTGGAGGTGGTTGGGACATGCGTGTATTATTATTTGGCCGGGCCAGGACACGATGCACGAAGCCGCATTGGGATGATGTTTGTGTTCAGTTCGGAGGCTCTTTTCAAATTGGAGCAGCAGGGAGTGGTGCAGTGTTGGACAAGACGTCAGGAATGGGGGCACTGCCTCGAGTGTGGCGGCGTTGGTAGTTTATAGTTTAATGTCCCTTGTAGGCGACCCTGTACGTATCTGGATCGCCAGCAGCCAGATCGACGGTCGGATGCTTGGATTCAGCAATGGCGACGTTGAAGTGGAGGCGCTCTGACGCCTTAAAACAACGGGCGCCCGGGAAGAGGAAAGGATGCAGACGGGGGTGGGCCCGCAGCACCCTGTTCACTCGCAAGCCTCACGCCAACCGTCAAGAGTAGCCGGCTCGGAGCATAAATTTTGACCAGGACAGCGATAAGTGCAGCGATGAGTGCGTGGATCCGAGCTTGGCGGGCAGCTGCTAGTCCCCAGGTTTCTGACTTGGGTTGGTGCAAGCGATATGAAGGCCGGGAGATGGGCACTATGTACAGTACAAGCAGGTGATTGTGTGGAGAAAGTAATCATGTATGTTCCTCATGGTCTAGGGTTTAGGTGAGCTAGTCGGTGCATGTGGTCTCTGCGGCAGTCCACTCTGTCTTCTCACCGCGTTCGCAGCCCATGCAGCTGGAGACTTTGGGACGCGACTGGCTCAGGACTCGTGTCTAGCTCCGAACTGGCTTCGCAGTATTTTCGTGGGGCGTCACCGAATAGGCTGGCGGCCGGGTAAAAGAGAGACAAACAACGGCGTCCCGGTTTCGCAGGCACGTCTGTTTCGAATCAAGACAGACCAGGGTGTTGCACACTGTGACCGGGCGGCAGCCAATATGGAGCAATATGCCAGATATCACGTAACTCGGTCCATGGGCGCTGGCGAGCGGAGGGTAGCATCGTGAGCGGCAGACGCTTTCACATTCGGCGAGGGTCCAGATAGAGTGAAGGAGTGGCTGCAGCACGAACCTGGGAAAGGCTTGACGGGCCCATCTGTCAGAGCGGGCGCAGGCCAATGGCGAGGCTGGAGGATTGCGGCTAAAAGCGATCTGCCCTGCGACGCCTTTCTTGTCCGTCTCCGCGCACCCACTTGGAGCAGGTGGGGTCTGCTGCCATGCTGGATGAGCTATAGGTGGCCCAAACTCTGGTGGTGGTGAACCCAGTCAGGACGGCTACCGGGCTTTTGGAAGACGGCTGCCGTCTCATGCGCCCATCAATCAGTGACATGAGACATTGCCTCCGCACCTGGCTATCGGACTCGATAGTCAACGGGCACGGCCGCCCAAACGATGTCAGTGGCTTGCGCTTGCCCAAGGTGGGCGACCGTTGTCGTTAACAGCAGACATTAAGACACACATACATCGCTTCCATGGCTGCGACGCGAATCACGGCGGTTCGCTTGCGGCGCAACGGTTTGAAGAGAGTGGCAGGAGATTGGGAGAAGCGTCATGGGGTGTGTGTTGTTCAGCGGGTGACTTGAGCATGGTATGCGGCAGTTGCAACAGTCGCTGCTACCATGCAGACTGATAATATACAGTGCCAGGCATAATAACCACCGACCCAGCCATAATCAACCAGACTTTGTGCATCGTCTAGACAAAGGCTTAGAGTGCAAAGTCGATTGGCAGTGCAGATGAAGTTGATTTAGATGACGCCTATTTGCAAACCTCGGAACGCTCATCGCCTGAGTAACAGAGTTGCAATGGCACCCTGGCAGACGGCACCTATTTGGAAATGCTAGCGCCGCTCCTCCTATTGCCTCCTCTACTCATTCAGGTAGGCTCCAACTCTGATATTGCTGCCCGCACGGATCCAGCGTACCTGCGCTGCCCCCTAGCCTAGCCGCGTCCGCTGTGTGCTACCTCGAGCGGGCGCATGTCTACTTTGACACACTCCTCCTTTTCCTACCCCTCACCTCCCATCGCAACATTGCCTTCGGTGAACAGGTCCGCCAATTGTTCGACCTGGCACGTGTGGCAGCCAATCGTCTGCCCGAGCACCTGCCGTCTCTGAGTTTTACGCGACTTCCCAACCTGCTGACCACTCACCTCCCACCTCGCACATCTCTCACCGCCCGTCCCCCCCTCCAGAATACACACCACGCTGCTGCTCGACGGCGCATGAATCACGTCGCCACTCATCCACCACAGGGCCACCAAGAAACTCCCCGGTCGCGATCGACACGCAGCCTCGACGGAGCCGTCATGGCTACTGAGTTTGGCAACTACAAGGGTAGGTGCCAACCGATCTCACCAAGACGGGCTGTTGGCGTTCTGACATGTTCTCAAAGCGGCGTCTACTCGGCAATTGCTGCCTTGCTTCGACTCGTGCTGACTCGCCTGCAGATTATAGTGGGGTGTCAAAACTGCCTGCCTCTGCGACTCACCTTCTTGACCCACGTCTAAAAATCCTGGCTACGCTGATCCCCGGAATCTTTGCCGCCAAGCACTGTTTGGACATCGGCTGTAATGCTGGCAGCGTCTCAATCCAACTATGTAAGTGTAGGAAGGATACCCCTGCTACCTCCTGCAACCGACTATTACCACGTCTTGTCGATATTGATCAACTTGCAGCATTCGATTTTCAAGCGGCATCCGTCACGGGCATCGATATCGATCCCAAGCTGATTGCCCAGGCCGAGAAGCTCCTGGCCCTGCGTGCTTCCCGTGCGAAACCCCCCACGAGTGGCTCGGCACCCGTTGTCGACTACTTTCCTATATCGGCCGTGCTCACTCATGGATACCGGATTGAACCGCAAAACAAGGCTGCGCATAGCGCATCCACTGTGTCAGCTGCTTGGCCGCGTGTAACCTTCTTCTCTGCAGATTGGGCCGTACCCTTAGCCCTCGACGTCGAGGAGTCATATGATGTGATCCTGGCATTATCCGTCATTAAATGGATCCACCTCCAACATCGAGACGCTGGTCTAGTTGCGTTCTTTGAGAAGTGCGCCTCGTCGTTGCGAACGGGTGGATACCTCGTTATTGAACTCCAGGGCTGGGACTCATATCAGAAGGCCGTTCGCCCAAACCACTCTCCGCATTTCCAGCAGGCTTTGAAGGAGCTCGAGTTACGTCCGGAAACTTCATTCGACACTCTCCTTGCGAACCAAGGCCTACGGCTCTGCGCTTCATCAGATGCACTTCCTCGTCGCATCAGTGTCTATCGAAAGGCCTGAGCACTTTTTGAACATATCGGTAGGGTTGAACACTCTACCACCAGGATCACGTTTCATCGCCTTCAAGTACCCAATCTTTAGCATCGGGAATTACCATTTCATCTTGCTCGGGAGATGTTCAACACACCCATGGCATTCCCCACTTCGACTAATCGTTACACTCTGGCGCACGGTCACTCTGCAATTATTATCCGTCCCTTGCCGTATCAGCGCCTATCGCACCTGGGCTCTCTATTCTGTTGGTTGGTGAATTTTGGATTGAGTATTGCTATTCACGAGACTTCGACCACTATCCCAAGCCGCGGTCAGTTACTACAAACGGCTGGTCTGCGCTCCACTTTCTTGGGGTTCTCCGGGCCTGAACCCTGCATGCCGATCGTCCCTCCTCACCATTCCCGGTTCCATCCCTCCATGTATCGTACGATTGCGGCAGCTGTGTAAGTAAAGATCGACCAAATAACAGGATTTTCAAAGTTTCGGTCTAGATGTTCGCCTCAATATCGAGATATGCAGCTATAACCTGGCCTTGGTAGTAGCAGCGACCACGGAAGTCATCTCTGGCAGGCCACGCTGGAGCAGGTATGAGGTCGCGAAACTTGCATTAGCTGCCTCACTACATAACCCGCAGTACTAACCAATGATGGCTCGGAAGCTTTTCGGCACATACCGGATACCCAGTTCTGTGGTTCTCCAGACCGTAAGTCACATGTCATCCACTAATACAAACCTTATTCCACACCGGATCTCGTGCAGGCCGAGATTTTATACTATACTATCATGTCTACTACGAGCCGCACCATCCCTCTTTACACGTCATTTCCTAATGGCCGGCTCTAGATGTTTCGATAATTGTTGATCGCCTTCTGGTCGAGATAATGTGACAAATGCTAGATCACTGAAAGGCAAGTTCGGCGAATCGATAGTACCATGATCTAACCTAGCCGGCCATCGGCGACCGGTTATGAACATCATAGAACCCGGAATCGTCAAACTCTCAGTGATAGGACAACTGATGATCCTGTGGAAGTGGAGACGCAATGTGACCTTCTCGTCACAATCGAACTATTTCCGCTTTCGTGACTTCATGGACACATAAATCTCTCAAGTTTTTTCCTGTTCTTCCTGGTTCTCCGCGACTGCCGCAGGGGTTCGAGCACTTGTCTTCCCTGATCAGCATGCAACGAAATACAGCTCGCAGATACTGGAAAAGCTGGCTGTTAAGAGAGCTCGCCACAGAAAGTGCCGTACGTTACTACAAATCTTGATCAAACAAATGGTCTACTACCGGACCTGCACTGTACCAAGCCTCACCCGTTAGACGCGATTGAATTGGGATCTTGTTCGAAGAGCAGATCCCATGCTCTGCAAAATACATCTACCAGTACATGAATGCATACAAACCGAAGACTTGAAATTCTCACCACTATTTTTGCTAGGAACACCTTGCATAAGCTCAAGATCTCAAGAGGTGCTTGATCTTACCGTTGGAGTTAACTCTCGTAGAAGATTGATACTGCACAGCCAGACCAATATCCAGTTTCAACCGCATTTACTTAACCGTACAGTGACAGGAGCTTGCTTCCCGGAAAGCTGTGCCATAGACCACCATTGCAGCATCTTATGAACTATCAAGTCCACCGCAGCAATGTGTGGAGACACGATCTTGTCTTTGCCATGAAGAAGACGCCGATGATGCACTCCCCTGCCAACCGAGCAATCTTCTGACTATTGTCGTCAGCAAGCCTAAGCCTATCGGGATCCAGCATCTATGCTTGCTTGCGTTGTACGGCGGCCAACATGGCCACCGATAAACGCACCGGCAGTTTCTCTCTAGCCGAGAGGGTAAACCACCATGTATGCTTTTATGCCGTGCTCGAGAGTGTCAGCTTTGGCTAGCCAACTGCAGCGTGGTATATCGATCGTGAACGGTATCGCTGTTCGTGTTCTTACGATCGCCAGTTCATTCAGTGTCTACTGCGCTATGCATGGCATGCAACTATCGAGGAAGATTGGTCGATACTGAATACGCCCTATACAGTGTTTGCGAGACTGGGGAATGCCGACTAAATGGGGCGCTCCACTGATGGACAACGCATCGACGGATAACTGCTTCGTGGACACACCACGTCCCGCACAGCAGCGCCTTGCACAAGTGATGCTGCCCAAGAGCATGTCGTGAGCTGGCTTTGAGTGACAACACAACCACTGCACGTTGCGCTTATCTCCTCAACTTGAACATTTGATGATAACACACAAAGAACAACGTGACGGCATTGGAAAACCATTGTCAAATGCAGGTCGCATGTGCAGCAAGTAGGGCATACTACGATCAGCCACCACCACTACCTCCCACGTTGTTTTGTTTTCGTACTCGTTGTGGTTGTGATGCGCTCATATTTGCCATCTTCTCGGCAGGTCTTGCAGCTACTTCGATTACGTATGCCAGGAAAGCCCAATGACACCGAGCGTTCATGAATCTACCAGGGGGCATGCAGAACATAGTTTCTGTCGTGAAACCTTCCAGCACATCGCCCTTGCCTTGCCACGAACACTTGCATCTTGCTCCCGAAACACGAACTCGACATCGGCCAGTATGTTCGAAGGATTGCGCTGCAGGGAGCGCGAATTGACCATTTCCTGCGTTTCCTCGACGTGTTCAGACGGGAGAGCATTGTCGACGCTCTAAGTCGGCGAAGCGCGGGGCTGGGAAATAGCTTCTGGCCACCTCACCTTGCCGCATTGGAGACTTTTGTACCTTCAACAAATGCTCCTTCTTCCCTTCCCTGGGCTTCGCAGGGACCGAACGTAAGGCGATACTAGCAAAAGGACGATCCCCGTCCTTGGTTCGCGATGGCAATGATGCATAGCTGCTGGACTTTCTGCGGTGGCGGAACATCTCAGCTTGGATGAACATCCACTTGTAACTAGGCGGGAAGCCAAGCACTGCACCATACGGGCTATATAACTTCAAGCAGCGTGGAAGTAGGTCTCACGGGATTCCTGTCGTCCCTTCTGACGTGTACCGGACCACGATTCAAGCAACGTATCTTGCGCCGGAACTCCAGGTTGAGCCGAACAAAAAGCAACCATCTTCTCTTCTCTACCAAGCTGCGACAGCCAGGTAAGCATCAGAAGCGCGCGTAACATTAATGTGGCAGCATGTGTGTTGTTCACGCCTCAGCTGCTGAGGCGTTAAGGAACGGGCGTCGTATAGGTCGCTTAGGGGGTATGAAACGGCTTCGTGCTGACCGTGCGATAGGCTTCCTTGACGAGTCTCGCGCGGGCGCCTCTCACGATCCCTCTTGCAGATCTCTGGTTATTTGATATCCTGCCGAAGTCAGACGTAAGCCGGATCCTTGCTTTTGCCAAAGCGAATGACCTTCCGAGCTTGGTCACACAGAGCTAGACAACACTCAACACGACTCGGCATCTTGCCGGAGCTACGGAGATCTACTACATATACATACGCCATCGAAAACCACTCGTAGAACAAAGCAGACCGACGCCGAGCGCTGATCTCCGCTTACCGACCGCGAGCGCATCGAGCGCATCACCGAGGCCATGCCACCCGCGAGCTCGTCCTTCACGCCCCTCAACATCCAAGACAATGTCGTACCAGAGTGGCTGGATGCCTTCACCCTGACCGCGCCCCCAAACACCGATCTATGGAGGAAACCACCATCAGGGGATATATCGACGGCTCCAATTCTCTACACCGCTCTGCGCAACCCTTTCATAGTAGCAGAAGTCACAGTTTCAGCAGATTGGGAGCTCGAATGGGACCAGGGAGGACTGGTCATATTCGCGGGCACACCGCCAGGGCAGATGCCGGTAGCAACAGCAAACGCGACAACGACACTTGAGGTCCCAAATGTTGCGAGCATATGTTTGAATGATAGCGCGGCCCCGAGTTCCGCCATGTCACTCTCGCAAACCTCCAGTATTGACGATGTTGAGAGGTACAACACCACAACTTCACAAAGCCCAGCAGAGGATTCAGATACCAGGCCCCAGTTAGAGCGTGGCCCTCCACCACCGTATGTTGCTCCTGCGCCAGCATCCAAGTGGGCCAAAGTTGGGCTTGAGTTTTCCAGCAACGCGTGTCATGCCAGTTGTGTGGTCGCAAATGGCGTAGGTGCAGACTGGTCATTGAGCGCACTCCCACCCCATCAACAACGACGCATGGACTTGCGAGTCAAGATTGAGCGCATCGGCTACGCGCTGTGGGTCTCATACGAGGATGAACTGTCAGGCTGGAAGAAGCTGAGAGAGGTCACCTGGTTCTTCTGGGGTGTGGAAGACAAAGCCGTACGCGTTGGCGTTTATGCGAGCCGACCTGCAAACTTTGGCATCTCCATGTGGGACCGGAGACACGCTGGAGGACTGAACAGAGGAGACCGAGATCTTTGTGTTGAATTTGAAGGTTTGGAGATTTTCTAATCAAGAAAGAGACCGCCATGTTTAAGATTCCGTCGCCATGTCTTCTTCTCTTTGATTCATCGCCGCGTTTCTCAGCTGTTCATGCGGTTTAGGTTATCTGCGCGTGGTTTCTCTCCTTGCTTCACGGACTTCTTTCATCCCTCCCTCTCTAATCATTCTAATATTATGCGCGTCGTGATCATTCTTACAATTCATTTCTTTGTATCTATTCGCTTTTTACGGCGTACGGCGTTGCTTCGGCGCTTGCCACAATCTTCAGCTCGTAACGTTGCACTCAAGCTGTGGCGGCTCTTTATGCACTGCCACCCCTCCTATTACATATCGTGTCCATCTCACCGCTTCTTCGTATCCGCTTATTGTTGTTTTACATGATGGATAAGGATGAGCGCTGGTGTGCCATCTCATTTCTGACTTTGTCATCATCTTCCACCCTTGTTCGCTATCTAGCATCTATGTATCTACATAATATCACATTTATTCGGTATTATCCTAAGCATGTACCCGATTTTAGTATAGAGTGAGCCTCATGCAATGGTGGAAGTTGGATGTGCCTTTCGCATGTGTGATAATCATGTGAACGCGATCCTGCGAAGCAGGCCCGTTTGTTTACTGAGCTCCACAACAACAACATCACACTCCTTACGGCGATAACCGCTCATAGATGCAAAGTAGAATTGAAGAGAATGGCAACAGTCATGATGGTCAGATGTGCACCAACGACAGACACAAACGTTGCGTGCAAACAACGAAGCTCATCTTTAGTCTTTCGACTCCGAGAAATATGCTTCATCAGCAGACTAGAAGAACACAAGTTCAGCCTTAGGCGACGCCACAATTTGACTGTTGATATTCCTTTCGTACGAAGATCTTTCACACTCGTCCACTCGCCACTTCGTCTTAGACGCAAGTTCTGGTACTCCCAGCTATCGCAATGTCCATGGAACTCCTGCTGCTGGGCCTACTGCTATTTGCAGCTTGTGGAACTAGTTGCACTCTAGTAGAATCTCAACCGGTTGTTTCTGCGGACGGAAATTCTATCGAGGGCTACACCACACGACCTTCAATTAAAAAACACGCTCCATTACCTCGGCGCTCATGCTCACAAAAGAGCATGCAGGTGAACACAGCCGGCATGCTGGCTCAGATACCTAGTGTAGATCCCAAAGTCGCGTGTTGGGCTACTCCTTTCTGTAACTCGATGCTTACAGATTTCGCATACTGCTACAACATGACGGGAAGTATGAAGGATCCCAACGCCGATGACGGACGGAGCGAGATATACCAACGCTGTCTTTGCAACGGCAGAGGGGATACGTACAAAGAGTAAGCGTCCGCGCTCCTTCATTCACCAAGAGTTCACCATCTCTAACATTTCTGACATAGCATCATTTCGAGCGACGGAAAAGTCGAGAAAGACAATGTGATGCAGTGCTATGAGTGTCTGGAGCAAGCTGGCGTCGATGTTGAAGATATCAATCAACCTAGCAGACAGCTTGAATGGAAGATCCATGACTTCTGCAACACAGCAACTCCAAACCTCTACGACCTTCTCTTCTCATTCCTAGTCTGGCTCGGGTCAACGAATGTACCGGTCGACCACGACAATGGATTGGGAAGGGTATCAGCCATCTTGACGCTTTCCAGCCGCTTCAGGAGCACAAGTGGAATGAACCAGGCTACTGGAATAGTCAGCCTGCCTACAAGTGTGCCAGGGGGGTGGTCGCCAAGTACTCGTACATCTGGAGACGCAATACCAACGCAGTATCTACAGCAGTTACCAAAGAACTGGCCTTACACAGCTTATGGTGTAGCGAGAAAGGCTGATCAAACTACCTCTTTCCCCTTGACGGATCCCAGTTCGACGGGTGTAACGACGGCGTGGCTCTACTACAAAATAGCTTGGAATCCGCGACCACTATTCACTCCGGCAATAGCGAGGAACGGCATGTACCAACCAGCGCTTCAAGACTGGGTGCCATCTCTTCTAGATGCAACAAGTCCCATGTTGCCCACACTTACGTCCACAGTCATACCCATCACGCCTCTGATAACGGCACCGACGTCCTTCATCGTAGGGCAGCAGAGAAGACAAGGGCTCACAATGGATGATATATGGAGTGAGATAGAGAGGGTGAGAGAGAGAGGCAATTCGACACGCAAAATGAGGGAACCAAGAGTATGTAGCATGAGACTATTTGTATCATAATTACGTATTAACTATACTATATATCAACCTTCCAAATTGAAGGATTTTCTGTGTCGACACGGTTTATCCGAGAAACGCCAACCTAATGCCCTATGTACAAGCCCCATGAACAGGGGCTGATGAAACGTATATACATTACCCGTATCAGTCTTCTTTTATCGTATACCTATATCTTGACCTCAGCAACAAGATACGGACCAATGACACAGATGGCTGTCCAAACAACCATAGCACTCTCGACGCACAGCGTGTATGGTGCTTTGTAGATTGGCACCTCCTGCAACCGAACCCAGATGGCATAGAAGGCGACGTAAAAGAAGTGCCACACCAACATCCAGGGATGGGTGATGAGACCAGCGAGCATACCACAAGGCTCACTGACACTCTTGCCGCCGCGGAGGAAGTACTTGAAGCAACCCTTCTTGATCAGCTCTAGGTATTGGTTGTTGGCGGCGAAGAGGCTGTAGAGAGCCATGGCCAGAATGTTGATGACGGAAGATCCGTTCTTGCGCTGCCAGTGGAAGGTGGACATGGCGGACAAGACGGCGGATGTATCCTCTAATGTGGGTACGTTGGCGGGCGAGAGGAGGTTGGAGAGGAGGACTACGTCATTGAACGCAACAGTCATGCCGCCACCAGTGAGGGGATGTCGCATGTTCATGGCATCACCCAGGATGATGAGTCCGGCCTGCCTCTGCGTCGAAGGAGGTAGGAAACTGTTTGGCATTGAGCGCAGTTTACCGGCTTCGATTGCTTTGCGGAAGGCGGGTTGGACGCATTCTGGTAGTTGGGGCAGCGCAACATTGAGCATGTGGTTCTTGACACCTCCGTTCTTGGGGCTGGCTGAGGGCAGATTCTCGGGTATGTCGACGAGGATGCGGGTTTCGTGGGTGCCGATTTGGTAGATGAGGATTGGAGGTGCATCGGCGAGGATGACGTGACCATGGTTTGGCATGGGGAGTTGGGCGTCGATCATCTCGAGGCCCCAGAACTTGCTGCGTACTTGGGGCTGGTGAGGGATGAATTCTTTGCGGAACTTGGAGGCGTAACCATCTGCCACGAGGGTGACGGCACCAAAGTAGTAGTCTTGCTCTCCAGCGGTCTTGGATGATACGCCCACGACCTGGTTTGTGTAGTCACTCTTGACCATGGATTCGACGGTTGTTTCAACAACAGTGACGTTGGGCGTGGCCTTTGCCTTTGCACGTAGCTTGGAGATGAAGCGGCCGTGGTGGAAGGATCGTCCTTCGGGTGCTTTCGAGGCCGCAGATGTGAGGAGGTTGTCCGGGTAAGGGATGTGGACCTCTTCCTTGCCGTAGAGGATCTGGTAGCCGTAACAGGGAATGGCGTCAATGTCGTCGAGGCAATCTGTGGTACCATGTCAGCGATGCATTCTCGACCTCGACAGGGAACGGGTAGCCGTACCCCTCATGCCCAACTTCTCCAAAGCATTGACGCCGCCAGGTTGCAGCAACTCGCCTACAATCCTATCAGGCTCCTTTAGGCTCTTCTCGAGCAATATGACGCTCCTGCCCTGGTTGCCGAAAGCGACAGCCGCTGCGCATCCAAGAATACCGGCGCCAACAATGACGATGTCGGCCTCATGGTGCACGCGCCGCCTCTCTTCGCGGTAGTCGTTTGTGTGTGTGGATTCGGTCGTGGGTACGGATTGCGTCGACGTGGTTCGCTGTCGCAGCTGTGGAGACGGAGATGCAGAAACTCCAGGCGGCAGCTCTGCAAGCTTGGTGCCAGAGTACATTGTGAGCATGGTTGCGGTTGCTGGGGGTCTGTTGAGAGACCCAATCGAGTGCTGGTTGTTTGTTTGCGCGTGTAGCGAGGTGAGTGCCCGAGGAAGGTGCGTTCGGGAATCGGTGGGGTGGTTAATGCGAATGCGATGGAAATGTAGGCAGCGTGGACGAGTGTGGAGATGGCGCTCAATCAGCCTTGCCGAAACGTCACACGGCTAAAGAGAGTAGAAATAAACTTCACGGGACGTCAAGACTCCTGTAGATCCAGGGTCCAGCAGGGCAAGCACGCAGTCTTGGAGACAAATCCGAGTGGCGACCTCACGATCTTAAGCCGCGAGATTGGTGACAGGGATCGCCCTCACCGCCATACCATGTTCTGCCAGGGGTACCGTCGCCGCCTGCGCGACATGGCGTGAACATCATCTCATCGCACCCGATGATTTCTCGCTTTTTTTCTCGAACGACTGTCTGCCCGTCCTTCGGGAATTCGGTACTTTGCAGCGTCTTCCTCCTGCTGCGAGGCGCCGTTTCTGGTGGGTCAACAGCTCGCTGTACCTGCATGTCTTCACATGCTCGGCCCCGAGCTACCACATCTGTAAACTCTTCAGTCACACATCCACGACGTTTAGCTGCTGGTGATCTGTCGCTCTAACCACCCTTTCATTTCGCCCAAAACTCAATCATTTGGAGTTGAAAAATCGTCTCTTTCGAGCTGTATATATTCAAGACGCTGCATGAGCAACGCCGCGTACCCAAGGGTACTGTCTAATAGAAATTACGAATAAAGCTAGTGAATGATGTGGTGTAGTAGGTATGTAGCATTGATGCAAGAAACATGCGTCTCGTCGTAGTAAACCTTCTGCCTTTTTGTTTGCCCCTGCGTGCGCGAGTCCGATCCATCATCGAACCATATAAGCCATTGTTTTGTCGTCAGCGCGTCCGAGGTAATCCGCCCAGGTGAAGGAAAGGTAGAAAGGAAAAAGTCGAAAAAATAATATGCACGGGTGCAAGTCGAAGCCCGAACCAAACGCCTCGTCGATAAAGGCTTGCTCTTACGCGAAAGGAGAGAGGTCTGTTTGTATGTACAAATATGTACAGCTATTCACAAGATCGTACTGTTAAGCGTCTTCGACATGACGCTCAACTTGGGTCGTTTGGGAATGAGCCAGTCTAAAAGGCAGCGCCAGGGTTCTGGTTGTGGGGAAACATGGGCGACGCCATGGGTGTATCGACCTCCATGATGGTTGACTGCCTTTCAGCATATTGTTTCTTGACATCGACAGGCTGGGTTGAGCCCATGTGTGAATTGCGGTAGTATGCCTCGTAGAACTCGCTCAGTCGCGTGTCCTTTCCTCCCTGGCCCGGAGCAAGCAGAGTGCTTGCGTGGCTGGGACGGCGTTCCGCCTCGTCGTCAGTCGATGCAAGGATTGAGGTGTGGCCAGATTCGACTGTTGACGCGGCCGAGGCTGAGCGCCGTGTCTGCTGCTTTTGCCAAGCTTGATCGTACGAATCTGGTTTTGGCGCGTCCTCCTGAGAAGCTTGGTATGCTTGGAAAGTGCTTAGCCGATTGCCGCTGCTGTAGATGCTGCTCGCTTCGCTTCCGTCTCGTTCATGGTGTGGCGAGTAGGTTCGTGCCTGTAGTTGAACTTGGGTACGAGCAGGCGATGAGGGTTCAGAGTCTTGCAAGAAAGTTAGGGATGGCCCGATATATATCTACTAAATGCTAAAAGTACAACAAACAACGCACCAGGAGATCGTGTTACCTACTCGGCTCGTGGACCTGCACGCGAGGGTAATCGTACTCGGGCGATGGGGAGCGCGACTCTTTCCTCAAAGCGTGGCCAGGAATAGATGGCAGCTTGGCCGTAGGCGGGTTGTGAGGCGACAGCGGCGTTGGTGACTGGCCAGGCGAATTGTGGTAAGATCCCTGCTGCGACCTGATGCCGTCATCTCCTGTGTGGTGTGAGACTGTGAGAGCCGGAGCGTATTGCTGACGGTTCAGGTCGGCGGGTGACATGGATCGTGGAGATGTAAAACCCTCGCTGTCGCTGTCGGAGCCGCCAAAAGTAGGAGAAGGGGGACCACGCGGGTGACCAGGGGAAGGAGGAACTTGGAGAGACATGTCGACAGCGCCGTTGTGGTTGCGTCTTCCACTAAGCTCGGCCTCGGAGGGACGGAGCTTCATTGTGGGCGGGGAAACTCGTTTTGCGTTGGGTTCCTTGTTGGCGTTAAGATTCAGGCTGAGCATGCTGTTGTTGGCAGATTGTCCCTTCATGAGTGGCGAGTTGACGCTTCCTCCGACCAAGGTGCTGGTGCTCATCGTTGGGTTGTCGCCCATGACAGATCCTGCTCTTGACGTAGGTCGCGATTGAGCAACACCAGCGTAGAAACCAGCCTCGATGGCACGAATACCGAACAGATCACCCTCATCCTTCTCACGCTGGTTCAGTTCAACAGTGTCCTCCTTGGGTCCGGCCTCTAGCTCAGTTTGCTTCGCCTTCTTCAGCCTTCCTATCGTTAGTTCACGTAGCGTTTATGTCGACATGGTTCACTTACTTTTGACGGTTGTACATCACTTTGATGAACCCAGCGAGGATAGTAAGAGCCAACAGCGACAAGAATACAATGCTTTTTTAAGATTAGTCTTGGACTACCATTGTCCCTAGGAAACATACATATATTTGTATGCCAACTGCAGGTTTCCAAACCAGTTCGACATTGTGGCGGATAGTGTTCTTGAGCTAGATCTATCGTGTGTCGAGTATATGTAGTCGTTACAATTAGGGTCGGTTGAAGATGCTCCGATCGATCCGAGTACTAATTGTTGTCGTATGTATTGTTCTAGCGGAATGAGTGTCGGGTAAAAGCAGATGATATCCTAATTCGGAAGGCGCAGTACAGGACGATATTATGAACGAAAGGACGTGTATACAAGATACACAATAGAGAATGACTGGGGTTGCGAGTCCTTGGAAGAGCGAAGCAAGACGAGCAGAGCCGCGGGGGATGAAGAGTAAAAGAGCGTAGCTTCCACAGGCGCGCGCTGACTGCCTCAGTAGTATGGCGCTACCCATACGACGGGCACGCATGGTTAAGATCTAAAAGCGGAGGCGACAGCCTAGGTCCTAACGCCTGCCCGTCAAGCGAGTCTCCAGACCAATCAAAGTAAGCACGGTGCCATAAACGGAAGGCTGATTCAGGTGGACTAACGAATTTAGTTGTGGTTTTGTTTGAAGGCGTGGTGACCCGGCATGCCCATGCAGTATCAGCCCTGCACTCGTGTCAGTGCCCTCCGAAAATTCGCATCGATGTCAGTCTGGCCGCTCGTACAGCGTAATGACCAGATCTCTTTGCCGATGAAGACATATCCTCTTGTATTGCGCAGCGCAGAGTACAGCGCGCAGCGCTTGAGAGACAGGCCATGGCGATTGGGTCGGCAGTGACGGCATTCAAGCAGCCAGAGCCTGTGACGGCACAGTTGTGGCGCATCAGGCATTGAGCCCGTGTCGTGTTGACGGTTCACGAAGGCATGATTCGCCTCTCGTCCCGACGAGCCCCTGACGGCGAGTTGGGATAGTGAGAGGAACAGGAATGGCGGCTATTCAGGCGGCCCATTAGGCCCCACTCTCGCATGCTTGGCAGGGGGAGGGACCCCAAGTTGGACATGGCGGCTGAGGAACTGGCCACTGCACATGCTTTTTTCAGCACAGCGAGCCTGATACCCACGCACGGCATCCTTTTCTCGCTTTCTCGCCATGCGACGGCCATCTCCCGGAGTCCCTCCGCTTGTTGTAATTTCCCGGAGCTCGGCAACAATTGTAGAGTGATTATCGATTCCGTACCTCCACTTTCTCGAGATCAGCATGGTCTGTTCAACGGTCACCGTTGATGTGAAGACCTCGAACACCCAAGGTGTGTGTGCCAAAGATGTAAGCGAGCTGCAGATGCAGGGCGCTGCAGCAGTGCATCCCACGCTTGCTCTGAAAGATGCGTGACAGGAGTAAAACCTGTCGCACCAGGATGCAATGGGCCAATGTCCGTGGAAACGAAACGTTTCGTTACTCGCTTCTGACTCCTTCAGCGGCGCGGTAGCTTTTGTCACGACTGATGCATGTAGAGGATCAGAACCTTGCTCCGCGGTATAGCGAGTACGATGTGTCAGTAAGCATGCGGTTGCCGACTTCCGATTCGATGCGGTCTGCAACTCCCAAGGGACAACGAGCATGAAATAGCACATAGTTGTGGAACTGGGCGGACCGTGGCCACTGCCCAGCGTTGAGGTTTTAGAAACCTTCAACTTCGTACGGCGACCGTTGGCGGAAAAGGGTTCAGCATTGGCTTGGCGGGCCCTCAAGTTGGGCGGCTCCACTGTAGTTGTCCACCTCGTACTTCTTTTCGCGCCGGCGACGCCGCCATGCCTATAGTGTGCGCCTTAGGAACCAAAACTCATCTTACCCCGTCATGCGAAAAGGGATAAAGTGCTAGATAGGAGATTGCAGTTTTTGAAGGTGTCGCTTGTGGCTAGCCAAGGACCAATTGTGGACGTCTGGCGAGATGTCCGTCGCGCTATCGATTGTAACTTCCAGTCCGCGGCTGCATCATCTCGTGAGGCTCTGTGTGATGGTGTCATAGGGAGCATCGGTCCCATCGTGATGTAGGTCATGCCCAGGCCTCCGCTCTCTCTTGTTGCAGTAATGCCAAGATTCCACTCGTACTTGCTTCCTACCTTGTGAAAGACTTAGAGCAGCTTCTTGTGCGATGCATATGGTGAGTATTGAGATCTAGAAAGCAAGTGTCCAGGCCTGCTTGAGCTTTGCGATAGTCAAGTTCCGTCTTAGGTACGAGGCCAAGCAAAGAGCGCGCCTATCTCCGACCTGACCTCCCACTGTCTGCGAAGACAATTAGGAATGCTCAACAGGCTGTCTTCCAGGAAGGACTTTTGGCATCTGTGATTCTCTGGTAAGCAGCGTAATTGGACCGCGCTCCTGGAGAATCTTGACAGATGGATATTGAAGATGTTGGGTGTGGGTCTTGGCAGCTCGCGACGATGTATGGCATCATAGACGTCCTGTCCAGCGGTCACCCTTCCAAAGAGCGCTCCTCGCATAGCTTCAATACTATTTAGCACGATACTGTCAAGCAGCCTGGTCTACTCCGAATCATACCACTATCATGGCCTCGAAAGACGAATCGTCCGACAACTCCAAGGTAATCAAAACTGAGCCCCTGGACAACAAAGACGCCAAATGGGCAACGCTTGTGAAGTAAGTATTTAGCTAATGTCGCACCCCGCACATACTCGGATTCGCTTGGGTCGTTAGACAATCTCATGAGTTTAGAAGCACAAAAGGCACTCGCACTTGAGCTAGAAGAAGAAGAAAAACACCCCCACTCTGCGTCAAAAGTTGACTGACAATCACTAGAATCACCTACACTGACCCCAAAGGTGTTGAGCGCACATGGGAGTCTGGGGAGCGTCTCACTCGACCCAAGGGATCCGACATCGACGGCGTCGGTGTTGCAGCAATTCTTCAAGACCCGGCGAAACCAAACGATGAGCCTCGGATCATCCTCCAAAAGCAATGGCGCCCACCAGTCAATGCGACCGTCATAGAAGTTCCAGCTGGCTTGATGGATCCCGATGAAAGTCCGGAAACCTGCGCCATCCGCGAGCTGAAGGAAGAGACGGGGTACATTGGGGAACTCGTGTCAGACAAGACCGTATGCAAGCTCTTCTTTTGCAGACGCAACTTGGGCTAATTCTATGTCTCTGAAATCAGTTTCAAACTACTCCAATCATGTTTAATGGTAAGTAAAGCTTTTGAGTCGCATTCGCTATCCACTGGATCTTGTGTCCTGTCCAGGGTGGTGTCCTCGTCATACCGCTACGCAGGAAGCGCATGTAGCGCTCGCCCTTCACCATAATGTCCACCAGATTACAACCACTGCTGACTGTCTCTACTTCACATACTGACATCTATCTAGATCCAGGTTTCTGCAATACCAACCTCAGAATGATTCACGTCACGGTAGACATGTCTCGGCCGGAGAATCAAAACCCACAGCCGGAGCTCGAAGAGAACGAGTTCATAGAGACATTTTCCGTTCCGCTTAAAGATCTCTATGATGAATGCATCAGATTCGCGGAGCAAGGATACGTTATCGACGCAAGAGTTGGCACACTGGCGGAAGGGATAGAGTTCGCAAAGAGATGGAGGTTGGCATGACAATGCGGAAAGACCGTAAAGTGCCTCCATCTATGACGTGAAAAAACCCACACGTAGATGCCCGCGGACACTACCATGTATTTGCAGATACCCGGCGGGCTCCTGCTGCACCAATGAGTTCGGCCCCAGCTTTGTCTCGTAGCCTGCATAACACAGTACAACAGCAAAGCAACATCCACTTCAAAAATTCCCTCACTACTCTCGATCTCACCTGATCTTGGTGGATGTTTATTGGCCAGACATCTGTTTTGTTGGCCTGTCACTAACTGCATTGCAACATTGTCCGCTGTCCAGATTCTTGGTCCTACGCCACATCGACGGCTGGCTCGCTTATCCCCGCCCCGACTCCACGGTTATAGCATCGCTTAGTATAGTGCATAGCCACCGAAATATGATCTATCGCTTACGCGTATAGATGTTCCGTTCGTCCTGCGTTTGAGCCGTGCTCTTGCATGGATTTGCATGTCGCAAGCTCGTTAATGTCGGGAACTGCTGGTAGGGCCTCCATTTACAAACTTTATGTGACCTACCGACGCTTGTGTATACTGAAGGCGGGTAAGTTCTGACACAGACAAGCCGCTGGAATGTCTCATATCCTTTTAACAGGCCGTGGCCTCGAAGAGTCGCAGGTGTGTTGCATTGCATCAATGTTCTTGCTTTTTTTTTTGATTGATACCCGATCCACACCACAATGGGGCAGGTAACCCAAGACATTTGCGTAGGAGTTTCTACAGCTCTAACAATACTTTCAAGTAAGCAAAGATCAGGCAATTGAGCTCGTCTTTGTATTAATCGTTATCAGTTATATGTGTCGCTCTCCGACTCTACACCCGTACCTTCATCGTGCAACATACAGGCAAAGATGATTATGCCATGGTATTCGCGCTCGTAAGTCAACACACCTATCCTCTACTCAATTATTAACTCCAGCAGCTGTTCACTGTCGCCTATCTTGTCGCCATTTTCATTTTGCGCGATAACGGTATGGGCTTCAGTGGTGAGGTTCTGGAGCTCCAGCAGATGTTGAACCAAATTCAAGTGACACTTGCGATAGAGATAGTCTACTATCTCATCATCAATGCCATCAAAATCTCGATTTTGTTCTTCTACTTACGCATCGGTCAGTCTCGTTCCTTTTGACAAGAAGACATTGCTGATCAGTTCTACAGCCGTCGAGAAAAGATTCGAGTACCTTTGCAAAGGTACAATCTACTTCCTAGTCACCTTCGGTGTCGTCTGCGTAATTGTATGTCTGGCACAATGTGTTCCACTACATAAGATGTGGGACTTGGCCGGGCAGGTTTCAGGCCAATGTATCAACACGACAGCGTTCTTCTACAGTAGGTGCATATATCTATTATCTAGTCACTTCCTAACAATATTTCCAGCAACGAGCGCTGTAAATATCATTGCCGATATCTGGATTCTGCTTCTTCCTATAAGTACACTGCTCAAAGTCCAGCGCCCGAGACGAGAGAAGTTCGCCCTTGTGATCATCTTCAGTCTCGGTGCATTCAGCTGCATTGCATCGATCGTACGCCTGTACTCAGTTGGTGTTTACACGGAATCTAAGGATCCTTTCTTCGACAGCGTTCCCATCAACGTATGGAGCATGGTCGAAATCAACGTGGGCATCCTCTGTGCCTCTATTCCCGCCACCAAAGCCCTCTTCAGCAAAGCGCAGAGACATCGTACGCATAATGGCTCGTATCAGTACCATAGTCGTGAACGCAGCATCATGAAAAGCTATGGCCATGGTAGCGGGAAAAGCAATAGCAACAACGGACAGGAGGGAACTGCTGGAGGCCCCACCGGGGCCGTTATCCAGAATGAGTCGTATGAGCTGAAGGATGTGGAAAGTGGGGATCACCAACCGTTTGACGCGAGAAAGCAAAATGGTGGCGGTGGGGCATGGCGCGTTCCTGACTCGGATGTGGACGAACAGCGCCTTGTATGGCCCGAAAGCAGAGTTTAAAGTTTGAGATCGCAAGCCACAAATCGTCCTGTCATGGCCCCACTATTGCGTGCTGCTCCTTCTGTGCCATACATAACATGTGGTAGGGCTGGTATTTGGACAAAATGCCATTTCCAGCGTTACATTTGGCATTAGAAAGGGTATGAGTGGTGGGTTGAGTATACTATGAATGTACCAGGTTCCGGGTTCTTGGTTATGCGATCGTTGCCTAGACGTTTGACTTGGTACTCGGAAATCAGGCGTGCTGCAGCTGTCGACTTCCCGTGTTCTGTATGGCGTTATTAGTATACGCAGGAACCGGGTAAGCTACTGCAACCGGTAACGTCTCATAAGTGGTGTCATTCTTGAGCAATGTCGAATGCCCGCAGGAAGCATGACGGCCATATGCTCCGAGTTCCTCCTCTACCTAAGTACCTTTGAATCAATGCATCCTTCTGCGTACCTCGGTAGTCACCGTGCGAGCTGCAGGTCCATTCACGCGTGAGGACAGGCAGCGAATTTTAACTCGGATGTCGGTTCCAAGGCTCCAACTTCCATGCGGTTAGTAAATTCACCAAAACGATGTCAGCCCGGATGAATATAATGGCTCGGCTGAAAGGATGGACGAATGAGATTAGTCAGAGAACTGCGGAGAGAATTGGGCGCGTGCAGCCATGGCAACACTGTCCCAGACTCAGATGCTTGAAGAATCGATCCAGAACTTGCTTGCGCAGGGCAGTCCAGTAGGATCTAGTTTACGCACTAGAAAGCGAAGTTTTACAACACTGCAACCCGGTGATTGTTCGCGAGCACTACCTACTTCACCATATCCTATGCGCCGTCAGGTTTCCACCAGCTCAAGCATCGCCGATGGCCTAACTCAAGACGCCGAACTCAATCATCATCAAGATGACAGCTTCATACTATCACTAGGTATCATTTTGGACAAAGGATATGAGAGCGAATAAGATGGAGGCTCACAAAAAAATGGGCAGTATCTAGATACCAATGAGACTACCTCTTAATCGTAGTCCGTGTTGGTAGCAGCGCCCTCCCACTCCTTCAACAACCTCAATGTACCCTCACACTTCTCTCGAATCACATCATGCGCATCTTTCCCTAGAACTAGTCTGATCGGTATCTGCTTTCCCTCCGCACATCCACTCATCGTCAATACATCGACGATGACCCTACATGCTTTTGCTGTATCTCCTACCTGTTTACCATCTGTCTCTGCCAGAGCCTTTCTCAATTCTCCGATCTCGCCATTCTCATACGCATCGATGCGCTTTTCGCTTTGCGCCTGCACGTCCTTTGAAAGAATAGCAGTACGATACCAACCCGGCTCAACAACAGTGACGAAGATACCCAAGGGTGCGAGCTCCGCACGCATGCCTTCTGTAGCACCTGATACAGCCCATTTGGTTGCTGAGTATATACCGTGGCCTGCACCACTGTACCAAGATGTTACTGACCCGAAGTTTGCGATAGTGCGATGACCAGACGTGGCGCGCAGATAGGGTAGAAAAGCTTTGGCGACGTTCAGGGTGCCGAGAACGTTTGTTGTGAAGGCTTTCAGGTCTTCCTCTGGACTGAAGGTTTTATTAGCACGCATGGTAGCCTAGACATCAAGAACGACGTGGTACGTACGATGTCTCCTCGACAGCGCCCACAAGCACATAGCCTGCGACATTGACGAGATGGTTGATGTATCCATATTTGTCATAGACTTTTTTGGCCACTCTCTCAAGGTCCGTCAATGGAGAAGTGACGTCTAGGACCACGGTATCGGCGCCTGCGTCTTTAAGATCTGCAATGCGAGGGAGGCTTCGAGCGCTGGTAATGACTTTGTGACCACGTGATAGGGCTTCAAGGGCCAGGGCTCTGCCGAAGCCACTTGATGCTGCTGTAATGAACCACACTGGAACTGGGCCGCCCATTCCAGAATACTGTGTTCCGGGCATGATTTTCACAAACCAAATGGAGATAGGGGGTGCAGTCGTAGGTGAAGCGCGTGCTGGTGGCGTCCCAGAGCCTTATCCGAGTCGGGAAGTCAACCTCAGACTTACAATCTTAGAACAGTGGTACCAGATGCTTGAAATTAGAATCATCGAATGCCCTATCTATACTGGAGCTTCAAGATAATCAGAGACCCAAAGAAAGGATTGAAACAGTCCTGGAAGCGATGTAAGAATTCTGCAGTGTAAGCAAACTGAGGGTGTTATCGGTGACGGTGCTGCACATATGGTCCATCGAAAGATATGCCATATGTCTGCTGATCGCTGTTGTCCATTAAGGATCCATTCTTGGGCCCGGTAAGAGGGTTTGGCACATGCTTGTAGATGGTTGGTGGGAGTTCCCGTGGGTATGCGTCTTGGCGATGCACAGCTTACTTACGCCCTGTAAGTTGGAGCACCATCATAGGTTCGCATACGGAAACAATAACAATTTATCAGGCTAAGAAGCTGGAAACAAGAGTAAGGCGGATGAAGCATCGATTCGGGCACAATTGGTCGCGTTGTACCACAGTGGCGTGCGACACTTCAGCCTTGCAGTCGAGCGTAAACCTACCGCAAGACTAAACTGGTAATTCTTGCCCGTGGGTATGACAACCAAGCATCCCATTGAGATCCGAGATACTTCTCAATGATTGCCAATATATGAAGTCCCGCATCGCCAACCTGCCATAGATGCCTGCCAAAGTGTAATAAGATTGCGTAGTGTGCAAGCACCACCAAGGCCACAGGCTGCTTCGCGGCCAAGAGTCTGGTGAATCCCGGGGGGATCAACATAGTCCATTCGCAGATCATCTGGTACTGACTGATTGGTGAATCTTCGTCCCTTCGTACTGCATCGAGCCCGACTTGCAGGTAGTGGACTGCGATTCGACAAGCCTGTTTTTCCTCTGCGCTCATACCATCCGTATCTTCAATGAGACTGAAGACCATTGAACAATCATCGCCTTCGGACTGCCGAGAAGTGAACTCCTTGCTCATGGACAGTATAGGCTCGAGTTCCGACTTCATCAGCAGTGACCACGCGGACGTAGCAATGGTGTAAATTCCTCTGTGCATTTCTATACACTGAACATAGTGCGTGATAAAAGTCTCCATGTCGGTTGAAGGCTGTACTGCGAGTATCTCCGCCAGTAGATGCTGACCCAGCATGGACGAGAAGAGTAGCATCGGTACGCAATTCAGCTGGTTCACTTCGGCTCTAGTTGTATTGAAAATCGAAACAGCGCGTGTCTGCAAAGTTACAGCCTGATTCCGGTAATAGGCTGAACAGTGCGGGTTCGCATGTGCCAAATGGCAGGAGGAGAAAGCTAGAATTTGGTGCATAAGATATGGTGCCTTCAAAGCCGTCTCCATACCTAGGGCGAGACCAGCGCGATGGAACTTCTCAAACCCGATCGCAAAGTTGTACATCTCTTCGTTGAGCATTGCGTGTATGAGGAGCTCCATGTGACCCACATTGACAGGTTCCTCACAGTAGACATGACCATCATCGATAGATTCATCAACTGTCGACTGCCCAGCGCAGAGCACAGAAGGTTTTGAAGGGGCTTTGCTTCGCGTCATCGCAATAGTACGGCCATACTGAATTCCTGGGCTCACAGATCGAGAATGTGTATCTGGAGTCGAAAGAGATGAGAAGCTGCACTCCCGGTCGGAAACAGTGCATAGCCTGCATTTGGGGCGGTTCTCGTCGCACTAGAGATAACGAAGCTTCGATCAGTATAACACAACAAGACTCGGAGAGTAATGCGCACTTTTACATGCCGTCGTTTACTACAGTTACGTATCAGTCAAGTGAGGAATGTAGAGGGGGCATTGTTGGAGCGGAAAAGGAATACCGAGAACGTACCACTCCGAGCATCCGCCTCTCGACTTCCTATGACTACGCCGAAGCATCTTAGTCCCATGGCTGCGAAAGACCAGGATAACACGCGTATTACATATTTGCAGCGGTTGAAAGTCTGGACGGCCAGTGCGACTTGGCGGTGTCGGAGGCCTGATGTTTCGGGTGACGTAACACGCGTGTCGACTTCTTTGGGTAAGCGCAACACCCTCCGACCCATCTCCCCTACACACCCAACGGCAACATGCTGGATCTGATGACTACGGTGGTCCATCCTGATCGAAACGGGATACTTGCACGGAAGAAGTATGAATACCAGCTCGCAAGCTCCACTGACTTCGGTTAGCCACCTACTCTCAAGCCATGCGGCTATGCGTCAGTTGCTGTACAATTTCGCCTTGTGCGTATCTGAGCAGAATCGCCATCAGAAGGCAAGCCCTTGGCTGGATCAGATATAGAAGCAAGAAGGCAGGGAAACGCTTGGGTGAACGTATTCATCTCATACAAATACACTTAGGCTTCCCTTACTTGAGGTGTCCTCTCTCATACTATTCACCTGTTTTTTCAACCCCCGGATAAAGCTTGGTGCGGTACATTACTTTTTCACTTCTGTCTCTTTGTCTGGCGCAGCATCCGATCATGCCTGCGCTTGAAACCTACAAAGGTGCATACCTCTGGAAATATGTGCCTAATTTCGCCGCAGCTATTGCTTTTGGTGTTCTATTCTTCATTTTAACCCTGGCGCATGCCTACAGAATGCACAGGTATCGGACGTGGTATACTATACCCTTCATCACTGGTGGCTTCTGTACGAACTGATCTACTGTCGAATGTGACACGTCTAGACATCACCGAACTGACTTCTCTATAGGTGAGCCCATTGGCTATGCATGCCGCGCAATAGCAACCTACCATACAGGCTCCCTCATTCCTTTCCTCCTACAAGCAATATTCATACTCCTTCCACCGTGCCTGTTCGCCGGGACATTGTACATGGTGTACTCGCGCGTGGTACGCGCTACGCACGGCGAACGGTTCTCCTACCTCTCCCCTCGATGGTGCACACGGATCTTCGTTGCAGGCGATCTTCTCTGCCTCAATATACAGTCGACCGGAGCAGGATTTTTACCCAAGCCAAAGCTGGTGAATGCTGGCAACGGTGTCATTGTAACGGGTTTGGGGTTACAAGTTCTTATTTTTGCAGGTTTCATGTGGTGCTGCATACTTTTCCACCGCAAGTTCTCGCTTCATCTGCGCAATTCTGGTCAACATGTTCATGTCCCTTGGCAGAGTGTGCTTTGGATGCTGTATGGCACTTCTGTAATCATCTCTATTCGTAACATCTTCCGGCTAGTCGAGTTCATCGCTGGGCACGATAGCTACCTGTTCTTGAACGAGTGGCCGGTATATGTTTTTGATGGTGCTCTGATGCTTTTGGTCATGATCAGCTTCTATATCTGGTACCCATTTCAGCTACAAAACGAGGAGATTGGTACGGAGAGTATGATTGAGCTCACGAACGAAGACAACAGTCCACCGGGAGATGAGCCATCTAGAAAATAAGGTGCGATCAAGAACTGTCAACGCCCATAAATCTTACAAAGACGATGTTATCTACTATACCACAGTTTCGCTCAAGTTGAACATTACAGGCCTCGTTTCTGCAAACACCTTCCTCTGGTCTAGTTCCTCAAACCACTGTGCCAATACCTCATATTTGCTCTTCCATCCAGGCCTCATCTCGGCGAATTCGATGAATCCAACAGTGCACACAACCGCAATATCGGCAATGGTCAACTCATCGCCAACAAGATAGACATTCCCTTTCTCTTTCGTGCTCCGTATCATTTCATCAAAAGCCCGCATCGCACCGTCAATTTTGCGATTCTGCCTGCCGAGCCAAAGCTGAGACTGCTTTTCTTTTTCGCGCCGGCCTTCGAATCGAGCTATCACAATGGCGTCCATGCATCCCTCGCTGAGGACGACGATCTGTCGAATTTGCAAGTCAAGGTCGACGTCGTCGGTGATTAGTTTTGGTCCCTTGTCGGCGTACTTGCGCACGATGTACTCCTGAATGTGTGCACTATCGTATACGGGTGGTCGGCCATCAGGGAAAAGTAAGATGGGTAATTTTTCCAAAGGGTTGTATTTGGGTGTTTCTGTTGCACTTTGCCAGGGTATCTCGTTTTGAAGTTCAAAAGGTATGCCTTTTAAAGTGAGCGCGATGCGGTTCATGCGTGCAAACGGTGATGGCGTTGCTGATATGAGAGTTAACGGGGACGTTTCGGTGCTGGAAGTAGACATCTTCGCTGAATACTCTTGTATCTGTATGTCTATGAGGAGCTCAAAAGGTACAACTGGAATGTAATAAGAATGGTGAGGACATGATGGGACGTGGCTTGGATGATGTATTGGCGTGTGCGGAGATAAGCCCGATGCTACGTCATGGGTCTGCAGTGGTATTGAAATCGTGTAGCTCCTCTGGTCCGAAGTATGCTTGATAAAAGATCTGATAGTCCTCTTCTGCGAAAGCTTTGAATTACCCATTGATGACATGTTTCCCAATCTTCTTGCTCCACCTCTTCACGTCGCTCTTGTTGTCTCTAATATCTTTCGCATCCATCCTCCGTGCCCTCTGCACACTGTCCACCAGGGCTTGTACAGCATCCTCAACCTCTTTCCTTTCATTTGAACTGATTTCGATATGACGGAAACCCTGGCTTGAAGCCCACTGGTCTACCATTTCCTTCTTCACTTGCCTCTTCCCTTCGTCCCTGTCGATGATGTCCTTCTTATTACCAACTACCACGCACCCGAACCTCTTCTTTAATCCTTGCATCCTTCCTTCTGCGCCATCTTTGATGAATACGGTGTTGCGACACTGCCAGATCTGCAGATACGTATGTTGAATAAGGTGATCAAAGGAAAACAGAGACGTAACATCGTATAACAGAACAACGCCATCCGCGCTGGCTATATAAGTATGTAAGACTTCGCGGTATCTGGGAGAGATGTCGCTGTTGAGGTTCAAATCTATGAAAGAAAAGCTCCAGGTCTCGTTTGCATACGAGATGGTTCTTGAAAGTGGTTCGGAGTCGACGGGACCATGACTGATAAAGTGCTTGCCTTCGAGGAACTGCAGCTGGAATTGGTGATCTTGACATTGAAGAAACGATGCTTGTACAGGATGTTGACGAAAGGGTTGCGTACCATGTCAATGAAACATGTCTTGCCGACAAGCTCCTCACCAAAGATAATTATCTTGAGGGGGTTGGGTTCCTTTGGTCTCTTAGAGCGCAGCATTGTCAAGCCTGAGACAAAAAGCAATTGTGACTTCGAGATGGAACTGGATCATGTTGATTGTCAAGGCGTAAAGGAATCCTTCCAGGAGTCGCGACTGCCTAGTCAGACACGCTAAGCTTCGAGAAGAGGCAGGCAACATATCATCATGTGTCCGGTCCTGCGTACTACTCAAACCACAGGGTGAGTATCGCTAGCCTAGCTCGTCTCGGGTCTTTCACGATAATCCCGTGAAGTGGCTTATTACCGTACAGTAGCTTATTGGCATACGTGGGTTACGCGTGTACCCCTAAATGTAGGCCCACATTTCTGCCAAGTCTGGGTGCCGGCAGCCCGGCACGTGTCTGGGATCGACGCTGGGGTCTGCCAGGAACGCTAGATAGTCTTCGAGAAACGCGAAACAGCAGCGGCCTTATTACGAGGGCTTTTCGCCCACGTAGTCGTGCGTTGCAGAGATTCGGACGCACTTCATCATATTTCTGCGTCGACACTGCCCCTTTGAGCCCTCAATCGTCATCTCAGGAAGGATCTGAGCAACAAACACCACGCGGAAATGACTCTTCGGCCAGCATAAAAGAAAGGAGTGCTATAGCGCTGTGACCACTTTCGCATTATACACCGCCATACTCGAAATCTGCACTCTACGCTGTGAGAAGGATTTTGAGAGACGCAGGCAGTTTGAAAAATCTCCCTCGATCCACGTATTGCGATGACGTCGTATCGTGATCACCCCTATGCGCATGCGCAAAACCGACCACGACTCCTCATCGAGCAGATACCAGACTATCGTGACGACCTTGACGTGTCAGACGAAGAAGACGGTTTCTACGCACGCGACGACGATTTTCTGATTCCGCCGAAGTTTCAGGCGGCAATCACACGCACAACCGATCGAATCCCGCGGCGGATAAAGCGCCATAGTGGCACATATCTCGTAATCGCTATTCTCTTCATAATCAGTTGGTTTACATACCTGGGTCCCAAGCGGACGGCACACAAGATGGAGATACACGCCATGGACAACGTACCAACTATGGTTTACGGCAGCAATGTGCGACCGGAATTCAAAGGCATGATACAGGTCAGCGACATGGATGAGCAGCACCTGCCTAAGAAGCATAGCAGACTTGTCTTCGTTGGCGATGTCCATGGCTGCAGGAAGGAACTGGAGCATCTTCTCAAGAAGATCGACTTCAACCATAAGCACGACCACCTCGTGCTGACTGGCGATATGATAGCCAAAGGCCCCGATTCGCCAGGCGTCATCAAGCTCGCCCAGAAGATCGGCGCTTCCTGCGTACGCGGTAACTGGGAAGACAAACTGCTGCTCTCCATTGCCGAAGCGCAAGATCGTCATGTGCTCAAATTCAGCCCTGACGACTCTCCCGATGCGAAAGTGGATTTCGTAGACCAGGTCAGCCAATCGCACGGCGACTACAAACTGCGTAAATTAGCAAAACAGTTCACAAGGAGGGAAATCGAATATCTCCAACAATGTCCCGTCATCCTCCGCGTCGGCACCGTCCCGACCCTAGGCAACCTCGTAACCGTACACGCCGGCCTCGTCCCCGACACGCCTCTCGAACATCAAGACCCGTTTCATGTTATGAACATGCGCACTATCGATCTTAAGACGAGGATCCCGAGTAGCAAACATGCGGGCACACCGTGGGAAAAGTTCTGGAATCATCGCCAGGAAAAAATAAAGCAAGAGGGCAGAACCACGGTGGTTTATGGGCACAACAGGAAGAAGGGCCTCAATATACATGAGTACTCTTATGGTCTCGATACGGGGTGCGTTAGTGGAGGGAAGCTGACGGCGCTTGTTGTCGACGGGGAGGGCAAGACGGAGTTGGTACATGTCAAGTGTGAGAAAGCGAATGGGTATGCTAGCGACTAAGGCCATACCGCACCTCGTGGCACAACACTGGGCGTTTTTTTGGCTGGGAGTGTGGCTTGAGATGTACAGCGGCACGGCTTATTAAGATTATGGATATTTTTGTCAGTTTAGCGTTAGCATAGCACTGTTGTAATGCCACGAGAAGTCATCATGTCTCTTGGAATGTGTTTTAGTTGAGAAATACCACAGTAAATGCCTTGCTCATGGAAGACAAGTACATCGCTACGTGTTTGCAGCGCAACTAAGATACCTTGTCCCCCGACCTCCATGATGAAATATCAATGGGTGCGCCCTACCATTCACACTAAACGTCTCCACAGAGAGTAGTCATGACCGTTGCTGGATGTCGTGTTGCAGCATATGCATCATGGTAGCGGTAGTGCTGGAGGTGCAGACGCTGCTGTTCACAAGGTTCATGATGTAGATGTGGGCAACCAGACTTCAAACCCTCCTGCAAATAACGCTAGCGCTTCACATTTCTTAGATGAGGGGGTGTGAAGTACATCATCGAGAGTGAGTCTTGAACTTGCTCCCAGTTCCAGTGAGGGGAACACGAGAAGCCATATTGCCACTCAGTCCGCTCCGAGCAATTCATGTAGCTTTGTCCATGTTCCAGCCATCGTCGCCGCCGTTGGGGCCTTGAAGTAGAGGAGTTGAACCATGAGCAGCAAACTGCGCAGGACGCATCTTAGGTACACCGCTTTCCTGGAGATCTGGTGATGTCTTGAGTGTGCCACTATGATACATAGGATAACGACCTTGCATTCCATGAGCAGATGTTGGGAAGCGGTATTGCTGGTTTGGTTTCTTCGATGTGATATGCTCGGTAGGTTGGCGAACAGCTTCTAGGCGATCTAGAAAAGGGCTATGCTGGACTGCTGGACCACGTTGAGAGACAGTACCGAGACTAGCAGTGCGTTGAGCAGTAGAAGGGAGAACGTGTCCAACACGGCGAGTAACACGGCCATAGTTACCCTGTATCAGATCATTGTTGCGCTTGACCAAATCATGGAGCATCTCGGTTTGCTGCGCTATAATTGTCTTCTGAAGCTGATTTTCCTGACTGAGGCCGATAATCTTACCACGTAACTCCACCATCTTAGTATCAACAAGGCGGTGCCAGTTTGCGATGGTGCCAGCGTTCTGATAGACCGAAGTCTCTCCGTTGATGATATCGACTTGTTCTTCAGAGACTTGTGAGCCGATAGGCGATTGTGGAATCTCTATTCCATCATGACTACTCTCGAACATGACTACCATGCGGGACTTTGCTTTCATGACCACGAGGGTGTCCATGTCACGGAGTTTGATTTCGGGGCGCTCGGTGTCTTGGACGTCGTTTGGAGTCATGTCGTAGTCAATGTTGATATAACGTTCGCGTTTCGCATCCCGAGGCCCACACAGAGCATATCGGTAGATGAACGCCCAATCTACCCCGTACTGTTTGTTTCGCTGTCGACAATAGGCGTCTAGATGAGGGCCGAACTTTCGTGATGCGCGAATCGTGAGGATGGAGAAGATGGGGGTGTTGTTGATATCGTACGTGTTGCTGTGGATGCGAAGCCTTAGAACGGGATCGTTCTCGTCAGCTATCATAGGCGTCGAGAGTTGCAGGGAGATGGGCCGAGTGATCTCCCGACCAACGTGTCCCTCCGTAGTCTGAGACACCAGATTCATTCCTCGAGACTGCTCAGATGACGGCAGACGTGCCGGCGCGCCTAGATGTGGGGATGGTTGAGGCGATGACTGACGAGACGGCATACGAGATCCTGGCGCACTGGCAACAAAGTCTTTTGATTGCAGCTTTCGACGAGCAGCATCTTCATAGATCTTGAAGTTGGCCGATTGGGCAGGGCGGAAGCGGTTCAGGCGAGACACTGGGGGATGTGCCTCGTTGAAACTAGTGCGACGAGCGTTCTGTTGTGGGAATACTGGATCAACTGGTGGAGGCACCTGGTTTACACGAAATGCGTCATCATACCGAGCTGCCCATACCTCAATACGTGCTTGTTGACGGTGTACGTTCTGGAGGAGCTCGTTACCCTCAATCATGGACTGATTCAGGACCTCTCCATTCCCATCCACGATATAAAACATACGACCGGCACTATTGTGTGTTCGTGGCCAACGACGTAGAGCTTCATCGACAGTCACGACATCGCGACCATCGTGTTGCTGACCGGGCGTCAAGCGTAGCATGCCCGAAGGCAATGACGACTGTGACAGTCCTTGACCTTGTTGCCTGCGCTGGGGCATGATTGTTTGTCGAGATGGCGGTGCGGTTGGAACGTAATATCGTAAATCTTGATCATTCTGAACATGATTGTTAGTTACCGAAACCTTCTCCTCAGCACGTTTCCGTTCCTGGAGATTCTCGTCTGCAGTGAACTGCGACTTGTCCAATGGATCTGGACGTAGGGCGTTATCATCCGGACCGAAGATTGCTCGCCTCTCTTCCCTGTCAGCAGCAGCTGCTGCACGTTTGACGACAGGTTTGGAGTTTGGGCTAGCGCTTGGCGACTGGGGGGCTTTGCGTTTGCCTCTATCTTGCTTCGAAGTTGTACCGGCACGGGTAGCCCTTGGAGTTGACTTGTATGGCTGCGGATGTACACCTGTAAGCAATTCAGGAACACAATCTGACACTGGTTCTGTATGTTTGGTGCAATTCAATCCCTGCTTCACACAACGTTTGCATGCGCCTTTGACGTAGAAAGCGTCGCACGTAGCATTGTTGGATTCGCAGCACTCGTCGCAGACTTTCCAGCAGGAGTCTTTGATGTGACGCTGCTTATACGTTAGCAGTATACATCTATGGAATATGACTGAATTACAGACCTCTGTAGAATACTTCTTAGACATATGAGATTTGCAGCGTGGACAAGCATATACGTTGTCACTGATAGTGCCTCCAAGGCGACCTTTTGCGCATGTGATTTTAATATGCTTCAGATTGTGCTGTGGTAATGTCAGCAAGTGCAGATTGAGATGTCTTGGAACTTACTTCGGCCTCTTTCTGGTCATCGTATGTGTTGTTGTTGTTGTTGTCGCTTCGGTACTCGCCTGCAGAGTCTTCATCCACGTCTGCAACACCTGGGCCATCAAAGCTCACACTGCCCACACCCGAAGAGGGGGTTTCTGGAAGCTCTGATAGAGACGAAGTGTCAGTAAGTGGAGTCGACACAGCCGACACAGCCTGAGTCACACTATATCTTGTAAGCTTTCATCCAAAAAGGCTCGCCCTAATTACAAACCTGCTCTGCTGTCGATCAACATTCTTGATATGTTCCATAATTATCTGTTACTTGTGTAACCCGCAGCTGGTTGATATAGTAGTGATTATTGGTTTCTCTTCTGCTCTGTTCAAGAGTAATTGCTGAGGATGTAGAATCTAGACGCGCTAGGCAGAAATATTTTCATGTGTATACACACTGGTGAACTGTGAGGCTCGCTATAATGGGCCGGAGTAGACCCTGAAAAACGATCGCAAACGCTCACCGCCACTAAGAGGTCAGATATAGATAATGATAGTCTGCGCATATTGCGATTCAGGAACTTTGATGACGCGGCTTCGGTACATGTGTTTAAGGAGCAGGTGGGCCAAACGAGTGATACTTGGAATTGTTACATCATGCTCCTAGCATTGTCCGGATACGGCAATATTGCCTGTGGTAGTCCGTCTCCAGCTCGGCTTGCGGAGCAAGAAGTGTCTGTGTGCAAACTGTGCGTGAAATATACGCCAACTCCGTACATGCACCTCTTAGGTAGCCGTGCAGCTTAGTCGACATGCGGATCATGGAATCTCAACGAACCATCTGGGTAGTACAAGATTGGCATTGTCGAGAGGCGCCAGGTGTTGTGGATGTGATTGGTTCAATCCGTAAATCAGTCAACGTACTGCCGAGCATATAGACGGACATGTCGATCCATGAGAGAAATGAGTGGATACGAAGGCAGTCTGACTTAGAGAATGGAATGAGATTTTACAGGAATCTGGACGTATCAGAGTTGCTAGACGTGACCTTGAGCACGCTGAAGTAGTTCAGATGGGTTTTGTCGTTGCGCGGAAGAGAAAGGCTAGGACCATAGAAGACTCGAATCTGAAAGGAGGGAACGAGATTTTCACTGGGTATGAAGGCAAAAATGAGAACACATAAGTGCGATGTGATGATCAGGTCCATGCAGATACGGTGACAGTGGTGGTTGACTGCAGGTTGACGCGAGAGATGAAGTGGAATCAAATCTGCGGCCTGTGCTCGTTGGCCCACTCTCGGTCGTCATCATTTCACAAACATCCAAGCTACCACGTCTGAGACATCTGATCAGCACATGCTTCCGGTTCTAACCTATGGAGACTTGTGCTCTCGATTGTATCGACATCTATTCGCCGTTGATCTCTAGTGTTGGCGGCTTCGGAAGGCTGATATACTTCTCACGAGCGATAGTGGCTGACCTGACATGAGAAAGCGATCGTACGACACATAGACAGTACTTTTTTATAAGCATCACAATAAGTTTCCGTGTGATTTAGGTTGGTAGCAATGAATGCAGCAATTTCGCGGATGTACCCCTAATACCGCCGCCTCTTAGACCCCTGTCGTGAGAGTTTTAAAGATGAGAATCTTGAGTTGTCGCATGTATCGCAGCCATAACTATCGAGTATGGACATTGGTGCTGTGAAGCATCGATACAGAGACCTTGAACACGTCCCAATAAACCCAAGGCAGCCCGGACGAAGTCTTTTGTGTCCATACCACATACGGAGTCTGTTGAGCGATCGATTAAGTCTGCAAGATACATACCTGCATCTCGTCTACGGTACGTCATTACAAGCTTTGTGACAGCTGCTGTCCATCTTGCTCATCTGTACGCTATCTCCAGAGGCAAAGACGCTAGCTCTTCGGAGTCCATATCAATTGCATCCTGAGCGTAGCCACAGAGCGCTTGTAACGATGTTTCAAATTGCCCACCGGCTATCGTAATTTTCTTCGAGGACATGCTAGCTCTTGTATTGTCTGGCGTAGGACACCGTCATTCAGTCTGTCAGGACTGATCTTGATGAGGCAAAACAGATCCCGTGTGAGACTGAGAGGATGGTGCCGGTAGTGATCTGACTTTGCGTTGGCTGAAAATATGGCTTTGCTCATAATGCATGTGCTCTGGTGAAACAGAGCGAAGGAAATTGATCGCGGTGACCGTTCCTCGAGTGATGATGGTAGCTTGTGTAATCCGAAGGTCGATGGTGTATGTGTCAAGGTAAGCATACGGGCAGATTGCTCAGCCTCAGCCTCGATCATAGCCTTGGCTTGCATAGTCTAATATTGCGCTTTTGTCAGCATAAGGCGGAGAACATACAAGGGATCAATCGCTAAACCAGAAGTAATGAATTTTGTGCCATACAATGCCGCTAACCCAAACACCTTGCTAACGAAAGCAAGTTCGACAGACAGACAGATATACGCATACACAAAACAGCCCCAATCATCATACACGGACCCTTACTCGACACTAACAGCTCTACTATTCGGATAACGCAGATCGTGCCCGTGAGATCTTATCCAAGAAGCGATGTTCTGTGGACATATTCACGAGTGATTAAATTCACGTAATCCTCGTTCAACTTTCTGAGATTGTCAGCACGAAAGATGTGGAAGCTGAGATCTTGATGTTCAAGACCTAGCTTCCTCAAGCTCGAGCTCCAACTGCCTGATGCGCTCATCCTTTTCACGGTCGGAAGGTTCTGACGTTGCAGCCTTGGCCTTGAGTGTTGAAACTTCACGCAGCAGAAGTGCGATCTGATCAGACTGGTCCGACATGACTCTGTTTTGCTGCTCCATGACCCTGTTCTGCTGCTCGAGCTGAGACTTGATGTCGCCTAGCGCATCGCGAAGGGCAGAGGCAGGACCACCGGCGCTAGGTGTGGAGGCTGGGGCAGAAGCGGCGGGCGTAGGAGTAGGCTCGGCGGGTAGGGCAGACCTAGCCTGGGAAGGCGCTGGGGTGGGTGTCGGAGTAGTCTTCGCGCTCTCGGGCTCCTTGGTAATGACGGGGCCCTTGGTCTTCTCTTCTTGACGGGCAGCAGTGAAGGTGCGGCGCTCCGTTGGCTTCGGGATTTCCTCGAAGCTTGATGCGCTCTCATTGTCGGAAGTCTCGTCTTTGTCTGCAAACTTGGAAGCTGCTGATGCCATGGAGTCCTTGTTGTCCCTCATAGAAGGGGGCGGCCCACGAGAAGCTAATGTTGTAGGAACAGGCTCTGGCGCAGGCTTACTCTTGGGAGGCTCGGCCTTGACTGGGGAAGGCTGGCTGGTCGCAGGCTCGGAGGGCTTGTAATCGTTCTCCACCTCCTTGGGGGCCTCACCTTCGTACACGCTCTCGAGCGAGATCTTGGGAGGCGCTGCGGTCTTACCGCCGAACCACTCAGCTGCTGAGACACCAGGCTTGAGACCAGTTGTGGGAGGGTAGATGTCGCTCTGGAACATCTCGGAGCGGCGGGGTACGATAAAGGACACGGGCTCGACGTAGGCATCGTTGACGGTCTTGAAGCAGCGAAGGACCTCGTTCTCGTGCAGGTTGATACCTCGCTTGGGAAGAAAGGCGATACCACGTTGTGGGTCGCCAGACTTGTATTCGGAGAGGTATTCGAACTTGTCGTTTTCGTATTCGTAGTATCGGATGTTACCGTCACTGCGCGCGTTAGTAAAGTGGCTACTGGATTGGAATCATGTACGCACCCCTTGCCAGCAAGGTACAGACACTGTGTACCGTCGTCCCAGAAGGGCATGCATACACCAGAGATGGAGTCAAGGATCTGGAAGCCGCCAATGGGCTCCTTGGGGTTGCGCGGGTCCCAGAGACCAAGCTGACGGTCGCTCATGCGCGAGAAACCAGTAGTCGCGATGCGGTCGGTCTCACCCATCCATACGGCGCGGCTGTTCTTGGCACCAGGGTGGCCAGGAACTTCCTGGGCGGGCTTCTCCTGTCGCACATCCCATACGCGCAGCTTCTTATCACGGCTCGTGGTGACGAGGAGGGATCCATCGGCGCTCCATGACAGCGATTGGACGATGTCGTTATGCTTGAGAGTGAGTTGCGGCAGACCGGCCTCGACGTCCCAGAGCTTTACGGTGTAGTCGCCAGATGCACTAGCGAGGACGTTCTCGGCGGCGGTGTTGAAGAGGACGTGGCCAACCTTCCTACGGCAGTGTTAGATGCGAATGCAGACTGGAGCGCAACGTGGTACCTCATGTGGCCGCTCAGCTTGGCGACAGGAGCGACGTCAGCAGGCTCGTCAGCGTCGGTCCATAGGGTGAAGTTTTCGGGGACCTTCCAGATGCCGACTTTGCCGTCGTCGGAGGCTGAAGAGATGAGCGAGTCGTTGAAGGGAGACCTGCGAGCAATTAGCGCCGTATCCCTTGCATCCCATGCCGTGTGCGACCATACCAGTCGGTGTCGAGGACGGCAGCAGTGTGGCCGCGGAAGAGAGGAAGCTGGTCGGGAGCTCGGCCGCGCTCGTTGATGGGGATGACAGCAAAGGCGCCACCGCCGCTAGCTTCCCAGTTGACTGAGATGTATTCGGGGTTGGCCTGGAGAGGGTGAGCGCATGTCCGACGAGGTCGCGTGTGCGGATGGGCTGACCTTGATCAGGTTGGTATCCCAAGCATTCTTGGAGATGCGGAGGTTGTCGTAGCATTGCTCCTACGAGACTGTAAGCATACGCCGACGCATCGCCAGACGGCATGCAAACTGTACCTTCTTGGTGCCCTTGCCAAAGACGTGGCCTGGTGCATCTTGTTAGCATGGTAAGCTGGGCTGCAGTTGGACATCAACACTCACGATACTTGGAAGCTCGCACAAACCGGCCTGCCATTGTTGCGATGTGATGTGACCGGGAGAGGTGGCAGATGTGTAGGAATGACAGACTCTCAGGCCTCGGGCGTTGGACTATAAGAAGCGCTGAGGTTGATGAGAGGGCTATGCGACGGGTTTCGAGCGCGTGTTTCGAGTAGTCGCCCAGCAGCGCCTTGGCGGGTGGACCCTTTGATGCCCGCTCCAATCTCGCCAACGGTCCCTAGTCACTTCTTCACTCCACCACTCCACCTGCAATCCACCAATTTGCAGCTGTTTATGCAGCCTAGCCCTCGCTTCTACCTGGCAACCGCATGTTCGCAGCAAGATCTCCAGCTAATGAGTTAGCACTTGGTACCTCGAAATGGCAGACACAGGTAATACTCAAACTTCCTTTTTTTTTTTCTGCCCATGTTTCTTCTTGTGCTAGTTGCATCTACATTTCCAAGTCTTTTTGTTTACTATCAAAGACAGCACACAAAACATAGACGCGTGTCGTGCTACAAGACCTACACTTCTGCAAGTACTTTTCTACCCGCCCTCGCTTCAAGCATGCCCAGCTCTTCGCACTTCCCCCGCAGCCATATCGCCCATCCATCCTCGCCCGCGTTCAAGACAACATTTTCTTTCGGATAGACAACCCACTGTATTCCCGAGAGCGCTTTATCGACACCTTTGTTGAAGAGCTGCGTTTGTTCCTGATTCCAGGATTGGAAGACATCGCAAAGCTGTTCGCGGACATGGCCCTTGTAAGCATCTTCGACGAGGTAGGTGTAGCGCTCCATATACTTGCGCCGTAGCCGTCGACTCTTGCGATCAACGGTTATATCATTCGGAAACTTCTCAGAACAACCATCCATAAGACGTAGATATGCGATGCACCCATCGATCGCTTCCACGAACCCGGTCGCCCATATTAAGGCTTCTGGAACTCTGTTGCGGAACTCAACGGCATTTTCCAAATGTGTTGAAATTAGGGGGACGATGTAATAGTGCATCATGCCGAGTGCCATGCCTGCATTGAAGGGCTGATCGGTCTTTATCTGCATTCTGGCGATGGTCGCGGGAATCTCGAAGTGGTATCCCATCTTCTTGACTGCAAGAGAGTTGAGTACAAACTTTTTAGTCCGCTTGATTGCCGCCTCTGGTGGGCTTAAAGAATCAGGAGCAGACGCTGCCTGTTTAGTGCCATAGCTGACAGTGGATGCAAAAACGAACTACGAATACTCAGGTTAATAATTTGTACACAGAGTACCTGGAGTGTCCGTTGGCAGCCAACAAGTGAATATCATGTTTGCGTAGTGTTGCGCTAACACTGTAGGAGTACGTCTTTGACGCTTCACGTTGAGCGACACGGTCATCACAATGGCTTTGTAACCTCATGTCTCAATCCGTCTTTCATGGCACAGATACCACATAAAAGGCTTTCAAGATACTGGATTTTCTCTGGATAGTGGACGAGTGGTCGTCGCCAAGAGCAAGCCTGGGTATGCTCCGGCCAAGTTCTCAGATGACAAGGCTGAGCAGACATCAGAGCCGCGACGTCTTCCTAACACATCCTTTGGTCAGACAACAAGGTAGATTCATCACCTGCGAGAAGGCAACCAGGCGATCAAGGCTGAACATCACAGAAGATTCACGCGTCGAAGGCGACGGCACGAAGGAGGACCTTTCAATGACGTATAGGCTTGTGACTAGCGTGCTTGACCCGCTAGACCTTCTCATGTGCTTCTCTGGCACGTCTACCTACTCAATTGCACGGCGACATCGGTCTTTGTTGTCCAGTAATGACTACACGGGAAAGGATGCCACGATATGAGCATCTTGCATCAATTCCTACGCTTCTTGATCGCGTTCTTTCACATAGCCCCTCATCTGAGCTGAGGTAAAGCTGAACCCCAACTCTTGGCTGGACCTAGATCATCTAGGAGGACCCTATTAGCGCTCTGCTACCCTGCTGCTCTGACAGTCGCTACTGCACGGGATGGAAGCACTAGATCTCAACAGGCTTGGAGTGGAGGACAGGGCATCCTTCTCCACCGTCAACGCTATAGTGCAGTGCTCCATCTTTTGCTCTGCAGCTTTGGGATGTCGTCTATGGGTCAATTTGACAAGTCTCATTGGACTTTCAATAAATTTCGTGGTCTTGCATCTCAAAAAGCAGATTCGAGTCAACAACCATGTTGACGCCTTCGACTAAGAGGCCGAGAAGCAGAACCACATTTACTACCAGTCGCAAGCGCTGACTCTCTATAGTACTTGGAGCTCTGCTCATGGACCTGTGACTACGCGCTCGACAAATGAACGTTGAATTAGGCGCTCACTGCCCCTTCAGCTCGTTTAGCCTTGTACGAACCATGGCGAAACAAGCAATGCTGTGCAGCACTACACATGAAGGCTTATCATTGCAGCGGGACGATGACAATAGGACATTTCACCAGTGCTGACCGGAAAGCTGCACGTGTCCTGCGTGCTATACATGTCGTCATGGTGTGTGTATATGCTAGGCAGTGCTAGGTATCCGCGTGGGATCGACTCCTCTCTGGACATATCTCTCCACTATAAAACGGCCACTGATGACTGAACTTTAGGTACACCTGAAAAACCTTACAGGATCAAAGCTGCTCATTAGTGAACCGTTCGCCTTGTCGTACACACCTGCTTATCTTTAGCACCCTATTGCTACACGATCGCTGCGATGTCTATGCAGGATACCGCCTCAAGAATCTTCCCTAAACCCCTAACTCTACTTCGGGATCGCAGCGATAGCCTTCTGGAAGACACAACGGATGATGCGAACGCTGAGCACCAGGGGTCACATCCCATCAACTATCCTGAAAACACGAATGGTGGCCCCAACGTCGCATGCAGACAGTCAAACACCGCAGCCTTCGTCAAGAATTCAGAAAACTTAGTCGGATCGGAAGATGGGGAGCTAGACGTTCACCGCTCTCTTCGGGAAACAACAGGCAGTGCTGCAGCTGAACGTAAGGCCTTCACCGTCCCTGAAGTCGATCCTGTCCACCTTCGAACCCGAATCAACGAAATTTATCAGGCACACCCCATCGGACTTCACCAAGAAGGTTATTATGTGCCAGACAAAGAGCTCCGCGAGCTGCTCAACAAAGAAACAATCAGAGGAGCCATGGGCGAAGGTGTTGACGATAAGCTTGTACATTTCGTGCTAGAGAAAGCACCCAAGACCTTTGCAACTTTGCAGCTAGTTTTCTCCAAACCAAAACAGCGAAATCAGGCCATGGAAGCATTCCAGAATAGAGGCTTTACCGACGAAGGGTTAGATTCAAAGAATCTGGTTGTATGCGAGTCATCCGCATGTCCACAACCCAATGAACCACAAACCGACGAACGACAAGTAAGCAAGCATTGCTCGCATTTCTTCCCGCATTCCTTCTCGCACAAAAAACTCTGGGATAATGAGATACTCGGACACTTCAAGACGCGTAGATGGATATTTCTCGTTCCTACTCTTGACCACATGCAGTTTCGCTATGAATTTGATCCACAACGACTATTACCATTCAAAGTCAGGGGCGACTCAAAAAAATCTAGCTCGGGCAACTTCAGTGATGTCATTTGCGTCGACATGCTCGCTGAAAAACAAACAAAATTCGAACTGTCCCTACCCGAGACGATCCCGGTTGCTCACAAGACTCTACGTCCATTGGATGTACCGAGATACGACATTCACACAGAGTGGTTACGTGAAGCAGAAGCCCACAGACAACTTAACGGCATCAATGGTCACCTCGTAGAGGGTATTGCCGCTTATCGTCGCGTCGCCAACAGCACGGCTAACGACACCTACCACATCGTCTTAGAATGGGCCGATGGCGGTAATCTATTCAGCTTTTGGAACAAAGATACTGAGCCCCAGTTGGATGGAAACACTGCAAGAAGTCGCGAACGTGTCCACCTGTTACTTAAGCAGCTCTGTGGACTTGCTCATGCAGTTGAAAGTATGCACAGCATGCGCACTGGCACTACAACATCTTCGATACAGAGCACTGGTGACCTATCAGAATGCCAGCATGGAGATACTGTGGTCACACCAACTGACGGATCGTCAGCGCCGGCAGTGAATATTGAAGCACCTGCTGAGGATAGTCCTAGCCAGGCACGTCATCCTGGCCCAGCCAACCTCAGCCCAGATAGCCAAGACGCAAGACTATCCCCACCAGATTCTGCCCCTAGACACCATTCACGGAGAGCTTCAGACGCAAAGAATTGGAGGCATGGAGACATCAAGCCAGAGAACATACTCCGCTTTACAGGGGGCGACAATTTAGCATGGCTTGGTACCCTGAAGTTGGCAGATCTCGGGAGAGCACAACAACACGACCTTGTGACTGCGCTAAGAAGTACCATCGAGAAGGAAAGATGGAGGACTCGGTGGTATGAGCCACCAGACTTGTCCGAGGATCTTCACCAGCAGGCCCACGGAAAGATTTCTCGTCTGTTCGACATCTGGTCCATGGGTTGCGTTATGTTCGAAAGCGTAATCTGGCTTCTGTATGGTTCAAGTGAGATCACAAGGTTTCAAAAGATTGAGACGCTCACTGCTGCCACACCGTACTGGAGGAAGATACGTATCGGTAGCTACCAGGTTACCGAGAGGGCGTCTTTGTGGATGAAGCACATTCTGAAACATGATGCAAAGCAACCCAGTGCTATTGGAGACGTAGTGAAGCTTATCAGGGACAGGTTACTGCAAGTCGGCCTACCCCTTGATTCGGATGTATATACGGCAGGGAAGAGGACCAATGCGAAGGACATGAGGAAACAATTGGCGCGAATTCTGGAAAGGGCATCTCGCGAGCCTGAGTATCTTTTCGACGGCATCGACAAATTTGGATCAAATCCTCCACCCGGAGACGTCTCCACCCCGATCCGACAGTTCAATACATCCCCCGACTATCTGCCTGTCCCAACAGAAGGGCGGTCAGCGGATAAGCCGGTACCGGTAGGGCATCGCACCAGGATTGAGGATGAGAGAGTCTATACTGACAGCATGACCGATATCTGGCAGTATCCTGATGATGATCATTTTGCAAAACGAATGATTAATCAAGACCAAATCCCCAACGAGGACGATTTGTGCGATCATTGTGAAAAGATAGACATCAAATCCTCAGAATTGGTCTTCAATAGGTCAAGCCTAGAAACTGATTGCGAACAGTGTGCATTCTGTCACTTGGTGAAAAAGGCTATTGACAAGGTTAATCTCCCACATGGCGATCATATCCGCCTTGAGCGGGACTCTGACAGTTTTGTCGCATATGGATTGGATGGATCTAAGCTCAAGATCCTTCGAGTGTGTTGTACAGATCGAGGTGAGTCCTGGCTTACTCTTGTTTTTATATCGCTAATTTGATTGCAGAAACAAGCGACTGTCAGAAAGATGTGCCTATAGGTGCTCCCAGCCTGTACAATCCACCAGGTGAACCCAACGCTGCCGACGCATTCATGAGGCTACCGAGAGAGTGGCTGAAAGAGTGTGATGATAAACATGGCAAAATCTGCGCGGCGACAAACGACAAAACTCAGCTACCCACAAGGCTGGTTCACCTTCAGAAATGGCAGCCGAAGATTATTGACTCAGCAACTATCGACGTATCTAAGGGTGTACGCTATATCGCCTTCTCTCATAAATGGGGCAAGATGCCAGAAGACGCTTTGACCACCAAGGCCAACCTACCGGCACGCAATAAAGTGATACCTAAGAACAGTATTCCTCCGAGCTTTGCCGATGCGATTGCGATCACGAAAGCACTTGGGTGCAATTACTTGTGGATCGATTGCCTCTGCATCAACCAAGGGGAGGATGGCGATTTTGCAGAGCAAGCTGTCTCCATGCAAGCTGTCTTCAGCAACGCTTACTGTGTTATCGCGGCTGCAAGTGCAGGTGGCGCTGTTCATGGGTTCCTGAAGCGAGACATCGAATCACATCCTCTCCGTGCAGTCAAAGTGGGGAGCGTGTACTTCTCGGCAGTGACAAACGACTTCAGCAGAGACGTGCTCCAAAGCCCCTTGAACACTAGGGGCTGGGTGCTACAGGAGCGTGCACTAGCCCGTCGAACCATCTTTTTTACGGCGAACCAGATGTACTGGGAATGTGGGGACGGTATACGCTGCGAGACGTTACGAAAGTTGAAGCAGTAAGTATGCACCGCCGATCGTGGATACTATACTTACACATTGCAGCGATGAGATCGCTTTCCTTGGCGATGCACACTTTCCCAGCAAGACGATTAGGCCTGAAAGTACGCGAGGCGAACAGATACACCTCTGGACTGCTTTGTTCAAGCAATACACCAGGCTTGAATTTTCGCACAAAGAGGACAGATCTGTCGGGATACAAGGCTTAATGGACCGCCTCACTGCTACCTTCGGGAAACGCAGCCACGCTGGACTTTTCGAAGCCTTCTGGGGCCGTTGTCTGCTGTGGCATCGTGCAAAAGACGGACCACCACTCACATGGATACCTGCTGGTGAACATACGAAGAAGCTACCACCCAGTTGGTCGTGGATGGCTGTATATGGACCTATCGACTTTCTTAAGCCAGAAGGCGGGCAAGTAGAATGGAATACAGGTGTCGTACTGCCATTCCCGAAGCAGTCCCTTGGTTCTTCTCTTCAGCCAAATCCTCAGCCTCTACCCACCGCGAATGGCAATGCAACAGGCGATACAATCCGCGCGACAGCGTTCAATCTCAAGGCTGGGATCAAACACACAGACAACGCGACCCTCTCCTATGATGATGGTAGGGAACATATCGATGGAGCAGTGCGGTGCGTTATAGTTGCTACCACGATGGACAAGGCCAACCACTATATACTGCTGATCTCGTCAGCTGTACATACGACCGACGCGACACATGAGCGCGTTGGCGTCGGGTACTCGTCAGAAGAGTTCATCGATCGAACAAGCGGTGTCGAGGTCGTCATTGGATAGTGGCTGGAGGATTTGCAACAAGTTCAAGGGGAACCGCTGTGACCATAAGCTACATGCTGAACTGCATTAGCCTCAGGGGTAATGGACGTACATGGAAGTTTTAATATGCTCGTGCTCCGGACTGCTCATATGAAGCCCTTGTGCTGGTCTTCCAATGCATCTGAGATAGTGTCAGAAATCGCATACGCAATGTCAATCTCATCCATCCGCGTAGTCTCCCACGCGTGGTGTTAACGTGAAGCCCCACTTATTGTTCTTGACCCACACCCAACTTCGGATTTGTAGCAACTCAACATGATGCGCCAGAGGAAGATACAGATATCAGGCGATGATTCGCAGCCCACAAGATGTCCACTTGAAAAGACAAAGTAGGGGTAGTGGCGTAATGGCAGGGTAGATGGAAACGCTTCACGTTGAGCGACACGGTCAGCACAATAGCATTGTAACCTCATTTCTCATGATGTCTTACACAACACCAATACCACTTCAGATACTATGGAAACACTGAGCCTGTCTCGGGTTTGATAAAGCCAGGAACGCTAAAAGTTTGCCTGGGTATGCTCCTACCATGTTTTTACATGACAAGGCTGAGCACATGGCGGCTGCAGGTGCTTACCCGCAACCGAACCAACGGTTGCAAAAGCCGATATGCAATCCAATATCGCAAGGAAATCTGACCAGGTAAGTATAGAGTGATTCAAACATCTCCGACCTTTCTCGAGTCGCCAACCTGCCATCTATCAGACCCATCTTGGAATGTCGGGTATCAACTCCATGGAAATCCCGCTCTACAGCACATGTGACTGCCGAGATAGCACACTCTCTTTTGTCGCCAACGTTCTTTCCATCTTGACGTTTGCTTACATCCTGCTAGCTGGTACCCTGTACCAGATAGCGGCCCTCTATCGGGTGAAAGGAAGCAGTGATTGGGCCGCAGTTCGGACGCGAGCGGCAAGACTACGAGACTTTGCAGGGCCGATAGAACGCAGAGATGCTATCAGCATTGAATTCTTCAACCGCTTAGATGACCTGGAGAGAGAGATAGCGCACAAGATTCCGGGAGACAAGACGACTGGAAAGTGGCATCTGATGTGGCGGCAGTTAAAGAGCACATGGGATAGAGCTGAGATCGAAGAAAAGCTATCCGGGTTGGCACAGATGCGGTATGTTCCAGCTCGAATCCAACTGGAGCCCCTACGGAGACGGAGCGCTGTAAGATAGCAAGATGAAGACTGACGCAAACAACAGTCTGCTTCTCGTCGAATGCAAATTGACTGATGCTGAGCAAGACAGCAAGGCGACTGAACAAGCGCTTGACAAAGCTCGCATTCAACTTGAAGAGTCTAAACGGCTATTTCTCACTCAGCTTAGGAACGAACCCAAGGAGCGGCGAAGGCGAACATTGAATGCGATCAAGAGCGAATCTGGCGAAAGAGAACGAGCAGCTTGGGAAGAGATTGAGGATGTGATTAGGAGGCTTGACGTAGAAGATGTGCAGAGGCGAAGTATGCGCAGTTTTGTTGAGGGCGTCTGACAATGATTGTGTAAAGTGAAAGCTTGAGTATTCGATTGCGTTTGGCATACCATCAAGTATAGTGACCAAATGGTAGTGAATCACACCTCTCGTCCAACCCATGACCCACTTTTTGTTCTTGGCCCACATCTGACTTGGAAGACGCAGCGATTCAGCGTAATGCACTCCAAGAAAAAGATGTAGGTGTCTGGGGATGATGACTCGCGGCCAGAGCGTGTTGGTGGACAAATAAAAAAGTAGCTGGGGCGATGTCAAGGTTGCTGGAAAGTCGCTGGGGCCAATGCCTCGGCTCACGGGGACAGCGGCAATGAGGTCCCCATGCGTGGCTTGCGTGCGGAGAAGCACAACCCGCGAACGCGCCCTTTACCTTATTCTACCCAGATTTCCTGGCATCCTGCATGCTCAACATTACATATCCGACCCAAAATCGCCATGTCTGACCAAAACGAGAAAACCATCCAACCTGAAGCGCCCAATGTGGCCGACACACCTGATGTCAAGGAGGTGGTGGATAAGATAGCGGATGCCGCCCCCAGTGCGGATCCGAGGGACATAGACAGGACCGACTTGCTCGCAGGCGTGAAGAAGGTTGACCAGACAATCCTGAGGCTGAACAAGTGAGTGTCTCGTTATTCTGTCGCGACGAGGGTCATGGCAACAAGCTAATGTAGGGCAGACTCCTAGCTTCCCCAGGCGGCCTCTCCGCATTCCTCTCCACATTCAACTACACCCTCTATATCCTCGCGTACGTGCAAACCAAGTCGCCCTCCATCTCCAGCTTTGCCACCAAGCTGCTCTCCCTCATCCGCCCGGCCTGCGACGACACCAAGATCTCAGCGGCCACACTCCTGAACAATGGCACCGTGCCGCCCATCGCTGCGCTCGCAGTCCTCATCTCCAAGGCGCGCACAACGCTGAGACTGTTCGGCCTCTTCCCGCTATACGCGTGGCTGCGCTCGCTAGCCTCAGGCCCCAAAGCTGGCACAGATGTCGTTCTGCATAGAATCGCCATGCTGCAGGCGAGCAGCTACTTCTCCTACCAAGCGCTAGAGAACATCTCCCTCCTCGCCGACTCAGGCGTCATCGGACCCCGCTTCATATCCACCCTGAACCGCGGCGACTCCAAAACTGCGCGTCTATACCTGTACGCCTACCGCTGTTGGCTGGGTGGCGTGTCATGCGACTTCCTTCGCTTGATGCGCGAGTGGCAGCTCGAGAGTCGCAGGAGGGTGACTAGGAAGCAGATGGTCGCTGATGGCCGGGCAGTAGCAGAATACCAGGACGAAGAAGATAAGAAGTTTGACAACCGGTGGTGGACCGACTTTGTCATCGCGAGTGCGTGGTTGCCCATGGCGCTACATTTCAGCAGCGCCACCGGTGGTCTGCCGGGCTGGAACCTGGGCTGGATGGGCGCCTGCGGTTTGGTTGCTGGCAGCACGAGGTTCAAGGCACTCTGGGCGAGTACGGCATAAAGGGCCCATCATGGTGATGCGAGGTACTTGTGAAGACGATCGATACCATACACATGTATTCAAGTGCTTGTTCAGTTTGAAGTTGGAGGTCTGCATGCAGCGTTTAGCCTTGCTAATTCATGGCGTTTTCTGCGTTTCGAACACGAAGATAATGTACCCTTGTTTGAACGCTCAGACATCAAATATACTCGTTGCATGCACTAGAAGTGATGCAGCCCGGTCACGGATCGGGTATAAAGAATACCTGCATCCTACATGAACTAGCTGTACGGGGCAAGTCCAACCGACTATCATCCAGAAGTGGGGAAGTGACTATCTCCCGGGCACGATTACGTTCATCAAACCAACCTTACTCCCACTGGAGGTGACCGAAAATTGAGCTGGTAACAACGGTGCCATCGTCGCTCAAGCACCAATTCAACACCCTGTTTTACAAGTGTTATTCTCGCTTAAAACCTATAGCATCCAAACGCGCCTTAGAGATGGATGGCAATGATGTATGTTCGCAACTGCTGACAGCACAACACTAACTAATTGATGTTCAGGATCTTCGAGATGCGAGATTGCAGAAGCTCTGGGATACGAGGCTAGAGGGAGATGGTTTCAGCATTGTCGAAGCCAGTATCGATGACTACCGGAAAGCCTTCGACAAACAACAAGTCACCAGCGTTGACATCGTCATCAGCTGCCTGAATCGCATTGCGCAGTATGACACCATCCAAGGTTTGAATGCTTTCACAGTCCTCAACGAGAACGTTCTCCAGGATGCAGCAGCATCGGATGCACGTCGAGCACAGGGACTGAAGCCCCGTCCACTAGAAGGCATACCATACACAATCAAGGACAGCTACAAAGTGGCTGGCATGACAGTCACTGATGGTTCCCCTGCTCTCAAAGGCGTCATGTCAAGCGGCGATTCTGCTATTGCGGAGAAGCTTCGGGCTGCTGGGGCAATCTTGATTGGAAAGACTAACATGCCACCGATGGCTGCAGGTGGTATGCAGAGAGGCATGTATGGTCGTGCGGAATCACCTTACAACTCCAAGTACCTTACTGGAGCCTTCTCCTCGGGTTCGTCGAATGGCGCCGCAACTTCTATAGCTTCAAGCATGGCAGCTTTCGGTATGGGCAGCGAAACTGTCAGCAGCGGTCGAAGTCCGGCGTCAAACAATGCGATTGTCTGCTATACCCCATCGAAAGGACTACTCAGCTGTCGTGGACTCTGGCCGTTGTACATTACATGCGATGTGCCCACGCCCTATGCGCGATCGGTCGATGACATGTTGGAGATACTGAATGTTATCGCTACGCCTGACGAAGACACAACCGGAGATTTCATACGCGAACAGAAACACGTTCAAATACCTCAACCGCCGTCAATCAACTACACAGATTTGCGCAACACCGATGCGTTACGGGGGAAGAGAATTGGTGTGCCAAAAATATACGTTGGTCAAAAAGATTCGGATCCGCATGCAAAACACACTCACGTCTCACCGGAAGTGATCGCATTATGGGAACAGACAGCCAAAGATCTCGGCTCTTTGGGAGCAGAGATTGTTTACACCGACTTCCCTCTAATAACGAACTACGAAAATGACTCAGTATCGGGCGAAGCCAACAACGTCGATGGTCGGCCTGCAAACTGGAATCTCCTCGAGCGAGGTATTCTTATCGCTCAGGCCTGGAACGCTTTCCTCGAAGACAACAACGACCCCAATATCAAGTGTTTAGCCGACATCAAAGATCCGTCAATGCTGTTTCCCAAACCACCCGACTACAAACCTGACCGCTTCCTCGAAGTAAGAAACTGGATTGATTACCCCGGTCTACCCAATATGGTGCAGAATGGAAGCATACATGACATTCAAGGCATGGAGCAAGCTCTAAAAGCCCTTGAAGCCCAAAGAAAACGTGATCTGGAAGACTGGATGGACAAGCATGAACTCGATGTTGTTGCGTTCCCAGCGCAGGGCGATGTCGGTCTTGCAGATCTCGAATTCGATATCGACAGCACGACGCATAGTCTACAGAACGGTGTCAAGTACTCCAACGGCAACCGTGCCATCAGGCATCTTGGTGTACCTACTGTGAGTGTACCGATGGGTGTTATGAGTGAGAAGAAGATGCCTGTGAACATCACTTTTGCTGGCAAAGCATACAAAGACACCAAGCTACTAGAATATGCGTACGCTTTCGAAAGCGCTACAAAGAGGCGTATACCTCCGCCCCTCACGCCCGCTCTACCCACCGACATTATTGCCCATGCATTTCCCTTGCCATCTGAAGACAAGCACATCATCGAATCTGTAACAGTCGCTGTCAACCCTTTGGGAGACTCTAATGACGTTGAAAATGAACTTTCTCTGAGCATGGACGGAATCTTACATGAACCTGCGTCCGAGACTCTGCTCCAAGTCTTTTTGGACGGTCATGTGGTGCACACTTCGGTGATCGAGAGCGCAAAGTGGAGTTTCTCAATCTCATATGCACTCAAGAGACCGGAAATTCTGGGTTGGGATCTCAACCCACTTCCAAAAAAGGATCTTATGGTCATCGTGGTTGTGAAAAGGTTGGATGGTGATGAAGGTATCAAGAAGGAGTCGAAGTTGCTGACGGTACCTGTTGATAGGGCTGCCGAGGTGTCTGTTAGGGACGGTACATGACAGGCGCGTCTGTAGAGGCTATTTCATAGCGGCATGAGGTTAATCAGATCATGTTGATAGTGTATGGTAGAACAAATGAACCAGTCCTTAAGTACAAGCTGACTCAAGAACGTTCAGCGCTGCTTAGGTAGTCAGACTTATCTCCAACTGTGGAAGGTTAGTTCTAGGGACACGGAAAGACGATTGTACTTTCGCTGTACTAGATGCCATCTCACACGGAGCCGCGGTCGAATAACTATCACTGACTTTGGTCACTGGTGTGAGAATGCGACGCGCCTTTGCGGTCAGTCGAGGTGCGCAGAACTCATTGCCATGCAGTTGGCTTCGTGAGTACGCTACAGTATGCCACGAGTGGTTACCGACTCTTGAGTACAGGTACAGACATTGTAGTGTTGACTATGCAATGGCGTAGGGTTGCGCTGATGTTATTGCGTACCCGGATCACGCCCACGTAGGCTGCTACTTAGATGGCACAGTCTGAGGGATGGGGAGATATCATCTGCCATCCAAACTTAATACGTTAGAATTGACTTGAATCGCGCTCGAGCAAATCTAGTCGGCCCCCTAATTACGATCAAATGCACCTCTGAAGCGCTTGCAAAGTGTCTGATCTTTCCAAGCAGATCCTTCCAGTACCTCAACCGCCCGCTTTCTGGAGGCCAGATGACTGATGAAGACAAAGTTGCGTCTACCGACTGTGCTCTTGCTAATTAGTAGGATGTTGCCAGCGCATCATATAACTAAACTCCAGGACCCACATAGTCAGCAGATGCCTGTTCCTTCTTGATAACCCTGGAAGGCTACATGCCCACTCTGAGTATCGTGCTCCTGCGTGATCTCGACAGACGTCATTGGGAGTTTGACTTCTACAGACCACGACGAGGCGGAGTTGATTAGAACAAGTCTAGCTATTCAACTGACTGGGTAATCATAATCCAAACAACCCTTGACTAGTGAGTCATGACATGCTGGTACGTGGAGAGGGTATGGCAAAGTTCCGGGTGCTGTAGCAATGACACCTCAACCTTTCGATCCAACGTAGTTGATGATGAAGAACCATTGCTGCCGAACACCCCGCGAGCACTTCAAAGTATTGTAAGACTATGTTTTGGATTCTAGGCCTCGTCCTCTTCGCAGCATCTAATGAAGCAGGTAACATACCCAGACGTCTTCAATGCGATACGAGGAAACTTGAGTATGTGCTTGTTGCTCACGGGCCTTCGCTAGCCTTCTTTGTGATCATAATATAGACGAAAAGGAAAGCTGTTAAGAATTAGGACCCAAGTCATGTAGGTCTCTCCACTATGTACCTCGCTAAACGAAAGAGTCGATCCGCTTGCTACGGATGCAGAGCTCAAATGGACGGTGAAATTCCATTGATTACCGCGTTCCTCTACATTCCGGTGGATACGCTAAGAGTTCAACGAGTGAAATGAACGCATTGATCGTGATTGTCGCCATCCCAGGGGTGTGACAGCTCAATAACATAAGATTAACGTTCAGGAAACCGCCCTTCAATTCACCTGCATACCACCCGGCAATGCTGTGAGCCAGCCATCAAAATTCTCGCCGACCATGTCCTTGACATTACACCTGTTTTGTGTAGCAATGTTCTGCTTCTTAAGCGTTGGAGCTGACACGTAGTTGTTCCCATCCATGGCTTTCTGTAGCGAGTTATCCTTCCAGCCGAAGAGGTAGTCCGCATGGGTCGAAAACCCGGTCGCATCGCCACTAGACCACAAAAATGGCTGACTGCCGTCAGTGGGCCAGTCTGCCTTGTTGTTGAACTGCTTCGTGTCCCAGACAGTCTCAAGCAAGATTTGAGGAATACGAATGGGGTGCGTTGATGGACATGCGCCGCCATTCTCGAATGTGCCGGTTGCTGGGTATGAGACGTGCTCACGGTGGTTTGGTGAATCGAGGTTTACACCATCCCAGCACTGTAGGAAGTCAATAAATCTGCCAAACACGCCTTCTTAGTGTATACTCAACGGTTGGAAATCTGTGATTGATCATGATACCCGCTGGGCACGGCTGCTTAGGAAACTCGAGCGTTTCTGGCTCCCGAGTACCCTCATTCTGCATACATATATAGGTTAATTGGCGAAAGTCGCGAGCTGCTTCGCGTGTACGGTACGAGACATCGCCAATTAGCATGCGGAAACCTGGCTTGAAAGCTGTTACTTTTGTAGTTTGCGAAGTGCTGAAGAGGGCGTCCGTCATATAATATACGACCTAGATGAATTTTAGACAGCGAGTAACATGATAATGGGGAAACGTATGTACCATGCCGCCATTTGTACCCTCCATACCTTGTTGCGCTCGTTGAGGGACGCGTTTGAAGGTACCGTTTTTTGCTTTAAAGTACACTACTGCGGTCCAATAGTTGCCTATAAGTATTTCATCAGCGTTGGGTCAAACCGGAAAAGGCGATGTAACACTGACTTAGGTCTTCGGTAAACTCGCAGGTAGTGCAAGTTGACTGCGCCGCTAGATCGTGACCTTTGGTAGGGTCCATCGTCACGTTGAATGAGTTCTGGTTTTATCAACAACTGTGCATATGTCTCGCAGTAGGGGTTTCTTACACCTCCGATGATCTGATGAAGATGTGGCGACGGATTAGCTCCTGGGTTGACCAATGGGTCGAGTCGCTGAACGGTCAACTGTGCGCATCCAAAGCGTAACAGTCCTGCATTTACGCTAGCAAGCAGCCCAAAGGCACTGATGATGGGTTGTAGCCTCATGGTGTTTGCACCCTGTTTACTTCTGTGTGTTGGTGCTGGCGATGATCTCTCTGGGTGATATTGCAGCGGATTCCGTACTCCATCTTTCATAGATAGCACAAACGCAGTGTCTCAATGAGGAAGATATCGAAAACTGCCGTCATCATGAGGGCTGATGTGAAGAGCCGAATGCCAGAGTAATGTAAGCTAATATCGCGCAGCGAATGCGCGCTCGCCTGCCAAGGAGAATTGAACAACGTCTCCGCATGAGCGAACATGTTCATCAGAAGCCTTCGAATGGAAAGATATTTGTGAAGCATGCATTCCGGGCTTGGTCTGGGATGAAGAGCGAAAGTATGGAAGACTCGGGACTATCCGTCCGACTATCTACAAGTGTGCATCTGACCATGTCTATGACGATGACCTCTGTGTATTCAAGGTACCATCGGGTGTATGAAGTTACAGAATATAGTACTATGATCATTCAGCGCAGCCTGCGATCGGATATATGAGTCCGCGCTCCTAGGTATCAGTTAGCTTTACTCGCATCATCAAGCAGAGCAGAGCAATACCATCCATCAACAGTTTTTGCACAGCGAGAGTTTAATCATCACAAACCCATCATGAAGTTGATTATCACCACTTTGATGTCTCTTGTCACCTCGGTTGCAGCCCAGACATATCCAGAGTGCACTGCCGAAGTCGCGCGAAGCGATGATTGCGCCGCTGTCATCAACGCAAACGCGTGCTACAACAAGTTTCGATGGAGCGCGCAGACCTTGACATGCATAGATGGAAATGACAATGCATTGAAGCAAAAAAAGGTAAAAATGAGTACGGTTGGTGACAAAAAATGCGAAGCTAACGAGAGCGGTGTTTGATAGGTGTGTGCTTGTTGCAGCTGTGTTGGAAAAGTTATGTGTGACTGGGCAACGAAACAGAAATACTGCTGAGAAAACCGAGAGCCGACGGACGGATTGTGTATATAGAGATAAATGCTCAACGAACATGTACACTGAACCATATAGTCTACATGGTACTTCGCTTTTTTGGTTGTCGCATATTTTGCTTTCCTTTTGTTTCTTGGTAATGGCTCTGGAGACCGACAGGTAAAGTGACTTGTACGCAATGCATCACGGCGCATGATGCAGAAGCATATCTCCGTCAGAGGGTATATCGTCGCCATCGTACTCTTTGACAGCAACGAGCACAGAAGCAGCGTCTACGAGCATCTTGAGCAGTACGACGAGTTCATTCGAACCCAAGATGTCAATCGAAAGTAACCCGCAAGCCAACGATGGTGGCAAGCGCGGCACCAGTCCCGGTGTAATCGCAGGTACCGTCATCGGTAGTATAGCCGGTGCTCTGGCCATTGTTGGAGCCATCGTATTGGGCTTGAAGAGGGCAAAAAAACATAAGAAAGGGCAAATCGGGTGTCAGTGACTCCGAGGATACGCCAGTTTCCGCGCCGGCTGCACTAGTAGCGGTGCAATATGACAACGAGAAGTACAGAACGAGTAATTTACCAGAGTGGGTCGTATGGAAATGAGTACTGCCCCAATAGCATGTCGGTCGTCGAGATGGTATCAAACACCGTACATCAATAGCTACTTTCAAATTTCTTCGTACAAAACCATTTTGGAAGCATCCTCACCAGATTGTATATCCACCATCCACGATAATCTCGCTGCCCGTAACGTAGCTACTAGCATCACTGACCAGCCAAACTGCCGCACCCCGAAATTCTTCAGGCTTGGCAATTCTCTTCATCGGTATATCCTTCAGCCATTCTTTACTCAATTTCTCCATCTCTTCGCCCTCGTTTGCCTCTGTCTGAATATACCCCGGGCTTAGCGCGTTGACGCGGATACCATGAGGTGCCCATTCAGATGCCAGGGATTTCATGAGATGGGCGGATGCAGCCTTGGAAGCGTTGTATGCTGATTGCTTTTGGGGGCGGTTCACGATAGAACCAGACATAGATGAGACGATCAGGATGCGGCCGTCGACTTGGTTTTCGATCCACCACTTCCCTGCTGTGCGCGAGAAGAGGAAGGTTCCGGTCAGATTGACGTCAATCATGCGCTTGAAGTCCTCGAAAGGGTAGTCTTCTGCTGGTGCGCCGCCAGTAATCCCAGCGTTGGTGACGAGGATGTCGACTGTGCCGAACTCTTGGATGATCTTGTCCCAAGTAGACTTTACACCTTCTTCGGAAGAGGTGTCGCACTCGTAACCATGCACCTTTGGCGGAGGTAGGCCCTGATTCTCAGCCTCCTCGATCAGAGCCTTGGCAGATTTGTCGGCGCCTTCTTGTTTGAGATCCACTATGGCTCCATGAGCGCCTGAGAGGGCGAAAGCGGCGAGGATCTGTTGACCGAGGCCTTGAGAAGCACTATGTAATACTTTAGCTTCGTCTCATCCGTGCTCTGTAGTCTCTCAAGAGACGGCAAAGACCACTCACCCGGTCACTAAACGAGATTAGCATGGTTTGCAAAGAGACCGTTTCCATATTGCTTACCGACAGCTACCTTGCCTTCAAGCGAGAAGTCGGGCAAAGTCCTGCGCTGCGTGTGAGCGAATCGAAGTGCCGGTTTTGATAGACGCAAAAGCGCCTGTGAGGTTCGTAAGACAGCATTGCGGGCAACATACGGAGGCATCTTGAACGTTTGCCTATGCTATTTGAGTAACTTAGGAGGCGACTTGAGAGTTTGGAGACTGAGAAGCTGTAAGTTTGCAAGAGATTCTAGGGCTAATGGGTCTGTTTTCATGTCTGTGATATTTATCAGGTACGGTTTTGTGATAGAGGAATTACGTCACTTTTGCGTACGCCGGTGCTCAAGCGAACCACAGTCACCCGACTGTTACCATCCAGTTGATAACGGGACGAGGATATGAAAGAACTTATAGTCAGATGGGAAGGTGTCTAGACAAAATTGGTAAAAACACCAATGCAAGAATGATTTGAGTGCATCATAGTGTTGTTCAGGCCAGGAGGTGGTAGCGGCGGGTATATTTGAAGGATTTGGTTAAGACTGCCTACTGAAACTGCCCTTTACTGATAGTGCTCGGTTATCCTCCAAGGTGGTGATCGTGATGTTCGTATCGGGTATAAATTGTCCTCCAGTTTACATGACGGTGCACCAGCAGGACTCGTCGCAACCACAGCAATCGCACGACTCACCGCACTTCGGGGCTGGTGAGGGCTTGATGATAGTCGAGACGGAGGAGGCAACACTGGCAGGCATCGTGATGGTGTTTGTCGGAAAGTAGTGCTATACAGAGTGTCAGTTGCGTAGCTAGCAGCAAGCGTAGAACACCTACCGAAGCAGCTGTTTTGAACTTGGAGAACAAGAACTGAGAGCTCTGGAGTCTGGCGGCGACGGGTGTGTGTGTGATGTAATTGTTCCAGATGGGCGATTCAAGGTGCAGTGGAAGATGAAGGGAATTGGTCGCAGACGTCTATGGCTCTTTATATCAACTCCGGTACGAAACAGCAGGGTTGGTCTGCTCCCCGAGGTTAATGACTTCAGAGATACGGCTTCCGTCATAGCGCTTTGTTTACCGTCGTCATCCGCCCTCGTTGGTCACACACATTGAGCCCTGACCCTGAGGCATGCATACCGATGTTTCAACGTCTGCCAGTTGTCAGGCATAGGATTGGTCCGGCGGCCTGTGTGCACCGCCTCACCGACATTACTATCTCTTGAGCCAGCCCCGGACGCGAGTCTGGACGGCGTGATAGATGGAAACAGCCGCAGCTGTGGTGGCTCAGCTTGTTCGCGGCCGTTCGTTCCGTCGTTTGATTGGTTTATGAGCAGGGTTCGTCGTAACATGTCTGCATTGAAGCATGCAGACCCTTGCATGATGCATGGGCTGATTGCGTGGCTAAGCTCCACTAAGCTTTGTGGCGCCAACAAATGCCTCACGAAATCAAGGAATAAGCTTCGCCAAGTTGCAACCGAGAAACTTGGCTGTGAATGTGTCGCTGACAGGCTTTGTAGATCTGTTCGCTCGTGCACCTAGACCCTGAGTGTGCCACAAGTGATTTGGCGCATGATGTCGCCCTGCAGTGGCTGCGTAAGCATTTGACATGGCGTTGAAGGTGGAGAGTTGGCCTCATGTATTGGGATACGAGCTGAACGGCGCTTCTAAACAAGAACGAGGAAAAGGCCTGCGCATCTCACCTGTACATGTGAGCCACGCATTCTCGCGGCACTTTAAGCGGTACTGGTGCGAGCTAGATGTTGCGGGCCGATGTAAGTAGTACAGGAAGGCCTTGAACCATTGATGGACCAGCACCGCATGTCGGTACACAACGATAAAGCTTGCCTTAATAGGGGAATATATTTGAGATGCTTTTAGCAGGAGGGTCTAACATCTTTTTGGTATGGAAGCTATGTGAGGGAAAGCTGAGCGTTTGAAGCTCCCGGACGTTCCGGCGAGAACTCCGCGTAACACGAAAGAGCGCCCGATTCACTAGTTCACCCTTCCCCTCATGCGTCAATCATCAAACCTTCCTTGTTCAATTTACACCACTCGAAGCTCTTGCGCCACAGCGCCTGTTGCATTTTTATGTCCAAGCTGTCCGGCGAGCTCTCGACTTTCTTGTCTCCTTCAAAGTAACCCTCTTGTCCTGCAAATTTATCTGATACTGCCACATCAACAAAGGGAATCGCAGCCTGCTCGACTGTCTTTAACCGAGGGTCAAAGTAACTGAGCAACGGCAGCATCCAAGTCACAACTGTAGTCACAATCTGGATAATCCGTGGGACATGTGACTGATGAAAAGCCCGCGAATTGATCAGATCGAGGGGATCAACCGCTATTGCCCTGATGGACTCAGCGTCCCTTTTCTAGATTGACGGTCAACGAGGGTATGTATGGAGTTATCTTAATGAGGTACTTACGGTCTTGAGACGACGATTGAGTTCGTACATGACCATGATGGGAACCAGCTTGCTCACAGCATATCTCTGGAAGCCTCGTCCCATCTCCTCGCCTTCTTTGTCTGCTTTGGGATGAACCAGTAGCTCTAAGTTTTCTGGCACTCGAGTTGGATATCCCTTAGAGAGACTAGCTTTCTCCGGCCAATGCGCGCCACTTCCTGAAAAGATGATGCGACCATGCACTGGATCCATAGCGCTGAGAAGCTCGCACGAGAGAGAAAAGTGCGCAAGGTGATTCACAGCAATCGATATTTCGTACCCATCCTTGGAATACTGGGGTCCGCCGGCCAGGTCCCAGGTCATCGCGTTACAGATGATCGTGCGGATGAGTGGCAGCTTTTTACTCTCAATCTCGAGAAGCAGCGCCTTGCTGAATATACGGACGTTCTCCAGCGATGAGAGGTCGAGTTGCCGTATAGACACTTGCACATCAGGGTGTTGGTCCACAAGAAGACGAAGTTTTGTTGAGTTCACGTCTTCTTCAGAATCGTCTCGGACGGTGAGAACCAGATTGAAGGATGAGTATGCCTCCAACAAGTACTTGACCGCTGGCAGAGCCAGCGAGCCGTTCGAGCCAGTAATGAGAACTGTGCCTGTCATGGCGCCAGTAGGAAATCGACAATTGAAGAAGATATCTCGGGTGAAGAACGCTTTGCAGAACGGACTACGGAAACCTCATCTGTTATTGTTATCTACCCATGACGCATGGTTGCTGACAGGCGTATACGCCCGGTCGTATGCCTTAGCGCCAGTCATCCATGTCGAATTCATCAAAATGCATACAGATTTTGGCAAGAAAGATTGTGGTTTCCTCTATTAGCACGTAAAGCTCACATATTTTTCCACGTGCATTTCTAATAAGTCTGAACTGTAAAGATCGTTGTTTAGGAATTAACGATGCGTAGTGTCGTAGCGCAAGGGTATCTGTGTTCGCCAGCCGTTCCTCCCCTCAACTCTAGTTTCATGCAGCTTAAATTTCCGCTAATCTTCTTATGGCCTTTCCGCAAAGAAACTCGTGATATGCAGCAGTGATCGGAACCTAGATCGATTACCTACTACCTTTCTAATACAGTTCCCGACGTTACAGCATGTACAGCAATGTGCTTTATCCCGGCTCAAATATTTTCAAGTAATTCCCTAACGGTTGCACCTGATTGTAGTGTGCCCTGAAGATATGCGGGTATGTATTGACTTATTCTCTTACTATTGGGGGTCACCAACCACACCTTTAGGGTATATGTTTGATACACTTGTTTTCTCTCCAGCTTCCTTGCAAGTCGAAACAGCTGCAATCACCACTAACTAGCTTACCGTGATGGTGCTACTTCCACTCGGCAGTAGGGTCCCATTCGCGAAACCTTCCGTACAAAGGATCATGTAATCGTGACCACCAAGTCTCATTCCCGCCTTACTCCATGCATCAAAATGCTTCTGCGTGGTAATAGTACCTCCAACCCTCTTCTCTGTTCTCACTGACCAGAACTGTGTGAAGGTGCGTGTACCTTCGATTGATGGTTTGTTCACACGCTGACTGGTGTAGAGCTCGTAGGTGCCTTCTTCGAAAGTGAAGTTGCCTTTGCGCGTCCAAGGTTCACCGGGTGCGAGGATGTCGTACGATTCGATGATGTAGTATTCGATGAGGGGATTGCGCGTCCAACCGTACAGGGCGAGGTAACCGGGTCCTTTGGCATCGTATGTACCTGCGTATTTTACGGTCCTAGCATTGTTTATCAGTACAGTCCTCATATTTGCGAAATCTGTTTGCCAATCTTACCTCGAACCTCCGGGCTTGAAGCCTGTACCAGCTACGAAGCCACCGCCGGCCTGGCCTGACCAGTTACACGTGTACTTGCCGCCGCCTTGTTGGCTGCAACGGAATGAGCCGCCTCCCTCAGACCAGAAAGAGTAGTAACCTCCTTGACGGGCTTCGAGTTGCTTCCCTACAGTTTCGTGATTAATGAGCGATGTGACGCCTCTAGGCGCTGCAAAGGTAGTGGGAAGAGAAACTAGCAAAGCAGTTGTGAGGATGGTGAAGGATATCATGATGGCGAATTTGCACTGGGAAATGCTTTACATCGCCCATAATGGGTAGTGTAGTATCCGCAGCTTTATACAGCTCTGGCGAGCAGAGATTTGGGGTCCGTCATCGTCATTTACCGAGCTTTGGGGGAAGCGCGCGTGATTCTTCATTCCTGTGTCTCATTAACCATCGATCCTTGAGAAGCCTTTCGTGTGGGGAGCCCATTGGCAACGGTATCTGTCAATTACTGATACGCTGCCATCAGTAGCCCATATGCTCTGCCAAGACCGAGGTGCATCCTGTTCAATATGCTTGATACTGCTGCCCCGGCTCTTTACTGCCGTGTAAGGGTGTTTCTTCGAATACAGCCTACACGAAAAGGTCCGAAATGGTGATAGAGACCGCTCGTCATTTGCCGGCGGCACTTGTCACGACGGTGCTTATGATGGTCATATTAACCAGCAGTCACCAATTACGGACTGTACGAGTGATAGGCATGTTGCTGTTAATCTACACGAAGATACGGGATATAGCATATGACGGTGACGTATGAAGTAAGGCTTATAAAGGTCATGTATGCCGACAAACTCGACAAAATCTGATAGGGTTCGTGGGTGGTCGCGGAGTGATGAGAGAAGGAAAGAGCGCGATATGCGGCATTGAGCCAGGGACATGCGGGAGCAAATTCGTCGGAACTGAGTTTGACGTGTCACTCGAGCTACTTTCACCAGCGAACAAAACGTATCCTCGCATGTACAAACGCCCAGAAGTGCTCAAACATCATCTTTCAACACTAGCCAGCAAATGTAGGGAATGGCAGAGCGCTACGAACGAGCTCCGACTCAAGCCTCCATCTCGTATCCGGGGAGATGATCCAGCCATCCCTCCACATCTTCATCAATGGAGCTTTCAACTGCACAAGCATTCATCTCTTCAACAGTCTGCGTTTTAAGTACACCTTGCATGCCTGGACTTCCACAGTAGTGGAACATGCAGCTGTCGTTCATTACCCGCTGCAAGCTGTCTCCTTTCCATCCAAACACGTAGTCAGCATGAGTGCCGTAGCCTCTACTATCGGAGTAGCTCCACACGAATGGCTGCGAACCATCGGTTGGCCACATATCAGCGAAAGCAGTCGTATTCCACATCGTTTCGTATGCTAGCTGCGGCATCTTGATGGGGTGCGAAGCGGGGCAGGGATCAGCTGGGCGGAAACCGCCCCGTGTGGTAGAGAACATATGAGACTGGTGGTCGGGGGCGTCAAGGTCAACTCCATTCCAGCAAGAGGGAAAGTGGCTTAACGAAAAAGACGCGGTTAGTAAATCTTACTTGAAGAGGAGGGAGTTTCTCTAGGCAAAAATCATGCAACTTCGAAGTGCGCGGCATATCAAGATACTGGATACACTTACTGTCTTGTGGTCAGTAAGCTGATTACAACATCTGCTAAGATCGTCTCTTACCTGAATAGCCATTATACCGGCAGGACAGGGCTCTTTCGGGAAGTCGGGAGTCTCGTAGCCTCTAGTGAGGATGGTTTGCAGGCACGTGTATGCCAGACCTTTCTTGGTGCCGTTGATTGTGGTCGTCGACGGATTGCCAACAGTCATACGAAAGCCCTTAGCCCAGTTAGAAAGCTGTTTGAAAATAGAACGCCTGTGTTCCTTACCGGAGGAAAAGCCCTCACTGGATTCCCGAGGTCGGAACTGTTGAAGTCTTTTTGAGTATAGTATATCGTCATACCTCCCTTGATGTGGTCTGCATTTTGACCTTCATATCCTGGATAAAACAAAATCAGGCTACGCATCGACATGAGTAGAGTCAGCATACCTAGTTGAGCGTTCGGGTAGATGGGCACGCGCTTATACGAGCCGTTTTGATGTTTGAAGTACATCGCAGCTGTCCAGTAATTGGAAAAATCTAAAGACAAGTCAGGGTTGACGATTGCAACAGTTTGAATGGTCATATCCTGCCTTCGGTGTACGCGCATGTCGTACAACTTCCCTGTTCGCCGATATCACCAGTCATCGTAGCATTGAAAGCATTGCCACCTGCGCAGGCGTTAATGGGGATTTCTAAGATGCAAAAATACATCTAGCTTACCAACGATCTGATGTACCTTCGAGATTCTGTAAGCTTGTCGTCAATTGTATTTTAGTGGTACTAACATGAGAGGAAGGTACGCGACCAGGCTCCACAAGTGGATCGAGGCGCTGGATGGAAACGCTGCTACATCCAAAGCGAATCGCTGCTTCTACAAAGACAGCTTGGAGAAGGAAGAGATGTGATTTCATAGTTTCGCGAAGACTTGTGTCCTCTTTGATGATGTAGAATTCTCAATGTTGAGATTGTGAGTGGTAAGAGACCTTGAAGGAACACAAACTATCATGAGGTACACATCGCGTTCCGTGAGAACAGCTGAGGACTCTTCGCTTCAATGTATCCGATGCGCATATGAAGAGGAACCAAAAACGACTGCCGGCTGGTAATGCCAAGTCGTTGATGTTGCTCTTCATATACACCGTTCAGCCGGGTAATGTGGAGGTGGGGCGTGTTCGCGCGGAGCATCGCGATGAACTCTCTAGACCTGTGAGGTGGGTCATCATCATTACGCATCGAAGCCGTATCCCGCTTATGTGATTACAGGCCATTGGGCATGATTGACAACAGAAGCCGTAGCAATGACGGCCGGTGACATGGCGTTGAAGTGACAGAACCTCCTGTCGTGGCTAGTGAAAGAAGTAAGGAGGAACTTGAGCTGAGTATTATCATGTCACAGATCTCTAAGCACAGAATTACTCTAACAGGTAAGACAAACGAGCAGGTGATTGTGAGTGCCCAAAGTGACAGTATAATGTCTTCCCAGCAGAATACCATAGATGTACCTGTAGAGAACTACGAACTAGCCAATGGTAAGATCTCAAAAGTGCGTCTCTATACCTGGGGCTGATGATTGAACCATCAGGAAATGATTGTGGGCGCCGAAAGTAAAGCTGTCCGACCTTGCTGTACCGCAAGCACTTCCCACTCGGCCTACGTCTCCATCCGCCATGTTCACGTCTGCCCTTCATACATCCTCTCAAGGTACTCCATCGGTCCCAACACTTGTCTGCATCGACTCTAGTAAGCACGATATCCGAACACTCCGTTCGCAGCCACCATGCACCGATCTCATCTTCGTTCTAAGCGTACCTCTTTGTCTCCTCATGGTCTACACCATACATCAAGGCGGCAATCTGATATACAGCATGTTTCAACGCCACTAGATATTCTGAGCCGTTGACGCAAGTGTGGCCGTCAAAGTGCTTCGAAGGATTATCAAGAGCCACACCGCTGTAGCCGACACCGCCTCAGTGCTAGGGAAGAGCAACGAGTGAGAGCTATGGCATGTAGTCGTGGCCTTGGAAGCGACTCGTGAGTTCAAGATGATAGCAGATGATGTCCTAGAAGACAAAGATTACCAGCTAGCGATCGTACAGACCACACAGAATTCAGTTCTGCGCCGACAGCATCCCACTTTGAGCTCTTTGGCAAGAGCCCAAGCTACATTATGTCCCTGTTCAATCTTCGTATCAGTAGACAAGAAGTCGCAGACCAAAGATTAAAACCACTCTTTTGCATCTTCCTTGCCTCGCTTCTCCCTCCATACTGGTCCATCAAACCCAACATTCCACTTTTCCGCAATTTCTTTCGATGTTATGTAAGCGGGTTTAGCATATGGTGAACTGAAAACATATGCGCCATACTTGAGTACCGTGTTCCTAGTTGATGATCCGCGTCTTTGGCATAGTATGTGGTGTCCTTCTGCACGCTGTACTAGCGGGAACTCGACCAGACTGTCTGGTGGCCCAGGTAGGAAATTAGGGGTAGCGAAGGTATCACACTGTTGTTCGGAGCGGGCCAGTTCAGGACCTGAGTTGTGTTTGAATGCCACCCGAACATTTGACAAGTGCGGAGCTTCATGTTTGATTGCTCCGATGAGTCTTTCGATGCTAGCCCACATCTCAGCACCAGGCACATAGCTCCTTGATAAAGCGTCGATATAAGTGAGAAAAATTGTGATGTTTCGAAGGTTTTTGAAGGCACTAGTCACTCGTTTCGAGAGAACGCCAAGGTCAACATCTTTGTCGGTGCTCACATTTGTGTATATCGAAGGATACACTTCAATCGTCGCCGAGAGATCTTTCATAGGCGCAGATTCGATGTATTCGTGGCATAATCGAGAATGTGCGCGAATGACATTGCTGCAGGGTGCATTGTGAAATCGTACAAGGACTTGGTTGACGATGTGACCCTTGCGACAATCTTGCCCTTTGCCCCAATCCCACCACAGACTGACCTCATGGTAAAGGTATGTGTATACGTTATTTCGAAGTTCGCGTGGTATAGTGAGGAGATGCGGCGCTAGAATGTCGTTGGCCATTTTTCGAGAGCGAAGGTGGTTCAGCAGATTACGATGATATTGACGGCAAGTGATGATGCCGACGAAGAAACACAAGAGTACACAAACGAGTTGAGAATGACAGGTGGAGGTAGATAAGGATTCGTGTGGTACACGCCGGGGCGTAAGGTAAGCTGCATCGTGAGCCAATCGGAGAATACACTTCGTTGCTTTTGTCGTACACGAAGCGATGAACGCGAATCGCTGTGTACTGGAGTCCCTGTTCAGTTGCGGGTACAGGGATGGTAGGGCAGTTGTGGAGATGTGCTCTGAGGATGGTAGGGCAATTGTGAAGCTGTGCTTTGAGGATGGAAGCAGGCTGCCAAGCGCTCATGTACTTCGAGTCGTCGGATAGCTGGCATGATCGAATTGATGTTCCGGTCATCCAAAAAGAGAGTAATGATCAGTCCTAACGAAACTCTAGAACCAGACTACAGCTTCTTCGTGACCGCGCTTTTCTCTCCATTGCTTTATTTGATGCCCGAGGATCGAAGGCGGCAGCGGTGTATTCCAATTACCAATCGTGTAAGGTTGCAGCTTAAAATGATCAAGAACGTCGGAAGGTTTCCAGAAGTGAGAGTCGTTGTTTGCGCCGCCCCTAATGTACAAATAGCAGCCATGCTTCACGAGACCATGCTGAGGTCGAGGCTGACCAGGCCATGGCTGCACCTGTTCCAGACGGTAGCCCTCGGCTCGCTGCACAAGTTGCAACACTTCAAAGCAGGGTGGTGGGGAGGTCAAAAAATAGCCAGCTTCGAATCGTGGATATGTGTTGTTATGATGCTGCAGTCGAGTAGTGGCACGACACTGGATACCAATCCGCAGTGTCGATAGATGTGGGCCCCTCTGCAGCAGCACGCAAATCAAACGTTCCGTATTAGTCCACCCTTTTTCCACTCCGTCATACTCACCAGGATCTCCAGGAGCAGTTTCAATGAGGATCGTGACATGTTTGACGAATCGGGCAAACAGTGTGTCCAAGGGCAACGTATGGAGTCTTTGGTGTATTGGCGATATTCGTTGACCTGGTAGTGCATCAATAACGAGATCGCTTTGAAGAACGTCTTCATCGGAAATTGTCATAGAGATTCCATCCTTTTCGATGGCTTCAAGATACTCTTCTCGCAAGCGAGGATGGGTATGGAGCAAGCTGAGACTGGGCGCGTTATGGACACGGTAATGAAAGCAACATGGAGCGAATAGCCTGGTGAAACGCCATACAGGATCGTCCTCAGCTTTCACATATGAGTAGATGAGGTTTCGCAATTCGCGAGGGAGTGCAAGAAAAGGTGGGAGTGGCAGCGCAGGGTCGGCCATGGTGGGAACGCGACATTGATGGTAGAAGGAGCAACAACGCGTTCACGATTTGAGCCTGCAGCTGGGCACTAGCCACGCGCAGCGTCATAGTTAGTGGCAAGCGTCATAGTATGCAGCTACAGAGCGAATGGAAAATACATAAGAACATTCAATTGTGTCAACCCATCTTGCGCATAATGGTGCAATTAACGTTCAACTGATTAGACGGTTTTGTGGTGGTTGAAGATGTCACATAATTACTACATACACATAACTATACACTTCCATTAGGTACCTGCACCGCACCGTTCTCTTTCGTTCCCTCCAAAGCCTCACCCCAGATTTGCTTGACAAGCTGTTTCTTATTAATCTTGCCCATCGCGTTCCTTGGGATCGTGTCCACAACCTTCATCTCTTGCGGGATTTTGTAATTCGCGAGTATTTCCTTCAGCGCCCGCCTCATATCCAATGCAGACCACGCTTTGCCGCCCTTGCCGGCGGTCTTGCCTTGCTCAGAAAGCACTACTACTGCAGCAACTTTCTGACCCCAAGCCTCTGATGGGAGGCCAACGACGGCAACTTCGTCGACTTGGGGAAGGGAAAGCATCTCGCGTTCGATTTCCAAGGCAGAAACCTTCTCGCCACCAGTCTTGATGATGTCCGCTGATTTACGTCCATGTATAAAGTAGAGAGGGCCTTTAGCCCAGGCTTGGTCGCTCTTGCCTGCTCCGCCAACATTCCTCCGGACAGCGACGTCGCCAGTCTTGAACCATTTGCCTTGTCCGTCCGCGTCCTCTGTGAACTCTTTAGACGTGGCTTCGGGGTTCTTCCAGTACTCTCTGAAGATGGTCGGACCGCGCAGTTGAATTTCACCCTGGCGTTCACGTTCTGTCACAGGATCGACTTCTTCACCCACTTGTATAATCTCGCCAGTCTCGGTGTCTACCAAACGCGCTTGCACTGAAGGAAGCGGCCAGCCTACAGAGCCGTCGACGCGATCTGTGAAATCTAGTCCACACGAAAGCGCCATACCTACTTCCGTCATGCCATATCGCTCTAGCAGCACGTTGCCTCCGCTGAGCTCCGTCCATGCAGACTTGACCGGCGTAGGTAGGGCAGCGGACCCTGAGATGTTTAGACGCATGTTGGACGGATGGAGGGCGGTCTTGGTCGCGGCTTGGAGTTGGGGCGAGAGAGTAGGATGCGATGCGAGCAGGCGCGTATATATGGTTGGGACGACGGTAAGGAAGGTAATGGGCTTCTTGGCTGGGTCGGGATTCGGCAGGAAGGGAGCTGCCAGGCGATCCCAGACAGCGGTTGCGTTAAAGGGAAACTGGAACTCGATAGTGCTACCAGCGAAGAGGGGCGTAAGCAGCGCGTTAACGGTGCCGTGGATGTGATGCAAGGGAAGTACATGTAACAGCACGTCCTCTTTGCTGTAGTTCCACGCTTCCAGCAGCGATCGCGACTGAGCCGTCAAGACGTCCTGAGGCAGCAGAACGCCTTTCGGTCTGTTTGTTGTGCCAGATGTGTAGAGCATCATGCCGCCCTTGTCACTTGTGGGTTCCTCGAGCGTGACATAGTCGTCGGTCTTGCCCATCATTATCTTCTCCTGCTTGTAATTGATGGGCTTGGTCTCCATGCCCTCTTTGAGCACATCGTCGGCTTGGCTTTGGAACTTCTCAGACGAGAGAAGCATGAGCGACTCGCTCTGATCGATGATGTAGCGCAACTCGTGAGCTGGGAAGGTTGGCGATAGCGGTACGGCGATGGCGTGTGCGGCCAGGATGGACAGCAGCGTCACTATGTGCACATTAGCTTCTTCTGCTCCTCGTCGTCGTCGCCGCACAAAAGGCTAGAGGAATGCGCACCTACATAGTCGTATCCGTTTTCCACCAGAAAGGATATCCGTTGGCCCTCTGCGCTCTGCCCACCGCAATTCCGTTGCAGCTTGTCCTTTGCAGCAGCGACATCGTTTACAAGCTCCCCGTACGTGAAGGATCGCCCAGACAAAGAGTGGACTACAGCGGTGCTCTGCGCATCGTGTTTCTTGATGGCTTCGAAGACGGGTAGGCGGGGTAGCGTGGATGCCATTCTCACGGTATACAAGGGAGTGTGTGCGAAAGGTTGGCAGCAATGGCTGGTGTATGTCGACAAGGATATTTTGTGTCGTGTGAGGGTGCGAGCGAAGAGATTACGCGCCCACATCGCGGCAGAGAGATGTCCCGGATCAGCGCAATTGATGCAGGTTTCGAGCCTTCGGAGTACGGCAAATCGGTGGGAGATGTGCTGTGTTCAGGGCCGAGTCATGTTGATGATATCACTTGAATTCCGGCCCGAAGCACCAGAATGGCCTTCTCAAGGGCTGCTTGGAGAATTACACATGCTCTTATAGTCGTCAATCAAGACTCATACACGGTCATCTGGTCGTTGCATGGCTTCAATGGCTGCAATGGCTCGTCTGACCGCGCATCAAACTTTCGGAATCATGACGCGACGCCTTCCGATTTCGCCTTGGCGCGTGCCTCGGCATGAATTCTGGGGCCGACACAACCCAAAACTTCCACCACTACGCTCCAGTATTCTCATTGGTTCTTCTTGACGGACCGCTCGACTAGGAGATACTCTCGTGGATGTTCATTCCAAGTACCGGCCTCGCTGCAAGGCGTTTCATGTCAGCCATGGCTCAGTCCATGACCCCAATGGAAGATGCTCTGCGGACCAAAGTATGTCAGACATCAAATACGCGACACGTCAGTCGAGTGTTCGAAAGTGCTTTCTGACATTCATAAGATTACAGAAGCTTTGAAGCCAACTTCGCTCGAGATCTTTAATGACTCACATAAGCATGCGCATCACAAAGCCATGCAAGGAGTCACCAGCAGAGAGACGCACTTCCGGTAATTATAGGTTCACGCTTTTACACCTTGTGAAGCCACGATCCTAACACGCATAGCGTTTTCATCACCTCACCAGAGTTCAAAGGCAAGATGCAACTTGCACGCCACCGCATGATCAACTCCTTGATGAAGGAAGAACTGGCCAAAGAAGGCGGTATCCATGCGCTGCAACTCATTACTAGGACACCAGAGGAGGAAGAGGCCAGGAAACAGAAGGAAGCAGTCCAGGCATGAGTGCAAATTACTACAGATACCCAAAATGCACGATCATGGAAAGGGTTGGCGAGAAGCGACCGATGCAACTGCGTGTGGAGACGAGAATACGACGGGGATTTGTATTACCTAGCCGTCACAAATAGAAGCGAGAGTGATGTTAGGGACACTGGTGTAGTCTAACCTGATGCCCGCAACGCTCATAGGTCACTTCGTATAGTCGTTCCTACGTAAAGCTTAGCAATCAAATACGATGCCTCAACAGCTCAGCAAAGAAGAAGACACAGACACTAGACCGCTAGTACTAGACTGCCAGTAGAGCATGCTCCAACTCCCTTCCCACTGCACAGCAGTTTCTGAACCTACAAAATAGCGTTGTATCAATGAGGAGATGATCAAGCTTTTAGAAAGAGCTGCGTTGTATGCCACAAGGAGCGCACTTAGCTACCCGGGTTGGCAACTTTCCCGTCGTGATGGACAACAGGCCACACAAAGCGGTGGCGATCATCGTCAGCAGCAAACCGCTAACACAGGCTCTACACTAACAGCAAGGGGATGCATCAGCCCTGAAGTGGCCCAATTGCGTATCGACCGGTCGATACGATCTAACCAACCGGAGATTCCGGGCCATTGATAGTGAGATAGGTCTTAGCTTTCGACCAGATCCTAGCATACTCTGCAGTGTTTAGATGGCATCCTCGGTGATTCTTGTTGAAAAAATTGAGGAAGTGGATGGCAGTGTTACCAAGATACAACTGAATGCGAAGGCATAGCACCACTATCACATAACATCCAGAGCAATACATGATGACATTCCTAACTCTAGCATACTTGAGATATGTGCATATCCATAAACACCGACCTCATTTTCATCTGATGCGCTTCACTAGGGTATAAGTAAGAGAAATCCAAATCCACGTCTATTCTTTTTTTCACAAAACCTTGTCCCGACTTTTAGACTGGAGAGAATCCCAACGAGCAATATGACCACCACACGTTCCCAGTTCTGTGACGTGAGTGCCTGTCGTACATACAAGAAATTCTCATTCATCTTCACCCACTACTTCTTTTGCAATGTTCTCTATTTTGTCGCCTGAATCAAGTATTTTTCGTGCCGCTGTCTGGATAGAAAAGCTTTCGCGTCGCATGTTCTGCACTGTCGACTCGAGTGTATGTGTCCTGGAGCGGAGACGACTGATTTCGGAACGGAGGACATTGATAATCTCTGTCTGCGATGGGATTGGGGTGATCATGGTATCTGTCGAGTCGACAGACGACGGGACTGAATTGATACCAGGTTGCTGTTCCGCGACTACTGTCGGGGTAGGCTTCGGGGTACCTGCCACCATCGCTTCTTCTAGTAACCGAATCCTTTGTTCAAGCCCTGCCTTCTCCAGCTCCCATATCTTTTTGGCCTCGGCACTTTGTGACTGGAGCCGGTTTGCCATGTCCATGATCCGCACGTATTGTGCTCCATTAGCAACCAACTGCCGCCGAGCCTCGTCCCTACTCTGCTGTAGCTCTTCGATCTGACCTTCGACTGTCAAAATTTGCGCAAGCAGCCTTTCTTTCTCTTCTTTCAGGCTATTTATCTCTATACCGCTAACTTCAAGCTTCTTCTCGAACGTGACGCATTTAGTCTTCTGTCTCTCGAGATTCTGGAGCAAAGCGTCGTACTCGCGCTGCAGAGTCTGAAATTCGAACGTCTTGACACTGACCTGATGTTGGAGGTCCTGCAAGTCCGCATTTTGTATCGATGTCTGCGACGTTGTAGGTGGTGACATTGGTGGGAGGCTTTGCGAACCAGGAAATTTAAGTGAAGCCGGAGAAGGTAGAATAATCGAGGACGCAGATTTCGCTACCTGCATCGGGGATTGTGGAGGCAGATGTGTCGGCCCTGAAGACAGCGTGGTGTTTTGTGAGGAGTTCCCCCCGTACGACGTTGTCCGGGGACTACTAAATTCGCCATATCCGTGGGGCGTCGAATGTTGCCTAGATGATGATGATTGTTCTTCATGGCCCTCTAGGTAGTCTCTGGCTCTTCTCATGTTGGAAGCGTTGTAAGGTGGCGACGGTGATCTTGGGTGATGCGACGATCGGTGCTCTATGTGCCTTTGCGGTCGAAAACCACCCTCATGCAATGAGCGAAGCGCCCGTTGCAGTGGCTCTTCACTCCGAGGACGTTCAGTTCCAGGCGGCTATTAGAACATATCAGCTTTGGCCTTGTAGATAGAGGAGGCGGGTGCTAAAACCCAGCGGTAAAAGGAGAGCTAGATAGAACGAACAACTTACTGAAGTGGGTAGGTCATGCTCTATACGCGTCAACTTTCGGACTCTATTGGCCAGCCTTCCCAAGTCCGCGGCAACCTTTTGGGGTGATGAGCACGAGTCTGTACATGCTTGTTCCTGGCAGTCCGGTGAGCAGCAAGTAATTGTCCCTGCTGCATGCGCCAGCTCAGGCCCGTGACCGAGACGCAAGTCCAAACCGCTATGCGGGAGACTGACCCGTTCAGTATCTCGGCAATGAACTGAAGGATCTTCTGTAATCGGCTCAGTTACGAAGACTGTCTTGGAAAGTGAGTATTGGCATTCCCGCACACCAATGAAATGGGAGCATCATGCGCCGGCTGTATGTCGGGCACCGCGCTTCCGCTTAACGCGCCAGATAGACCAAAGCTAAGAGAGTTGTCATACCTGCGTGACTCGATGGCGGGATTTTCCTATGCCGGTGTTGGAAAACATCGTAGAAAGACCGGGCTCTGGGTTTCAGTATGCCTAGCGACACGACTGCCCGTACGGACGGCAATTGCTGCGTACAATTCGAAATTACAAGCTCTGCTAACGTGTTTCCGGACGAAACAGGGCGCGGCAGCAATCTTTGTTGGTCCAGGACGTAATCGCCGTGAGTATAGTGGCCGGCTCGTGGCGGGAGCGGGGATGGGTGCTGATTGATGAAGGCTGTAACATTCGGGCCGGCGCGCTTGGGCTGCACATCAATGGCGTTTCCATCCTCCCAAGGTCGTTTCCTGTTCGTGCGAGAGTCCATAGGTGAAGTTTGACTTTAAAGACCGAGTGCCGACGTTGATGTCCGCCATTCGGAACCGTGGACTGTTGTATTAGCAGTGTTTTTAATGAGTACTCGAATCGTGTGTCCTAGAGGACATACTCAGCAGCCAGAGAAAGCGACAGACGTAATACGAACTGGCGCTGGGTACCATTCGTGAGCTTGATCACTTTGAAATCTGCCGTGATTTCAAGATCTTGCTTCCAGTGGTTCGGCTTCTGAGACAAAAAACGGGTGGACAAGCAGGCGTAATGCCCACGAAGTATCCGGTGGGTCTTTGAAAAGAGGCGTATTAAAGAGGCCGAAGGTCAGCAATGTAGTATGTCAATGCATACGAAATACTCCGTTGGTAGTACCAACAGTCAGTCAGCGCCATTGCTACATTGACGCCTCTTCGTGCTTGATGGTCATGCCAAGTGGAAGTCAAGTTGCAAGCTAAGGAACCAACAGGAAGACGTACTATCAATGCTCTGGTAACGTCAGGCGCGGGTTGATGCCGTACTTCGATGGCGGCGTCGGAGCCGAAATGCCGATCCGTGGACGGGAAGCCAGGGACCTTCGCGAAGAATTGGCATGGGCGACTTACAGCCAGTAATAGGGGAATCATGTGGGAGGATGGAGGCTGAGTAAGACGGATAGTTGATTATTGGTAATAGTGAGCGGAACTCATCCGAGATTAGCGTGGTCAGTCAGCACAGACCGTGTGAAGCTCGCTGTCACACCATCTGCGGAAGCTAGACTGGACATATCTCATGTCGTGTGATCGTCATGCGCTTGCAGTTCCACAGGGCAACTTATTGGAATTTAGAAAGTAGAAAAGGCCGACATGAATGAAGACTTGAGCAGAGGCTATAGAGAACCTCGTATCATACTAATGAAGAGGCCGGTTGCGGAAATGTCGTAGTGTTCAGACCAAA